CGAACCAAGGACAGGACCATGACCACCACGGAGGTGCAAAAAGACGCCCGCCCACCTGCGTTCCTGAATCGGTAGGCGAGGAATTGGCGACGGCGGAGGACGAAGACGAAAGACCCGTCTGCAAAAGCTTTGAGCGACGGGTCATGTCCGGGTCACGGGTGACGCAAAGTCCAGGTCCAGACGAAGGAGTATGAAGGGTACTCGATACGCAGGCTCCATACTGGATGCGCAACGCAGTGTACTTTTTTCCCCCGCTTGCTTCATTAACTGTGTGGTAGCTTATGGGGACTTGGGACAGACGCTCGAGTCAAAGTGAGCTCGGTATTACGGGTTACGGCGCACTAGCATGCCGTGTCTGGCCCTGGACAGCGACAGTTCAGTCTGCATCGGTAGGGGATGGGCGTTCGTAATGTTAGCTCGGCAGGGTAACGGGCTGAAAGAGACCAAGGGCCGAGAGAGTTTTGTGTGGGGATGCGACAGCGAAGGATGGAGTGTGTGGACGGGGGGCGGGATGGGACACGGCGGGATGATGGGACGAGAAAAGAATGGATCGTTGGCGGCGATGGCGACGGCGACGGTGGTGGTGGTGGTGGTCATGACGAGGAGCCTGCCTGGCTTTTGGAGGATGGACGGTGTCGAACTACTGCGTACGGTAGAATTGCGGCGGCCGTGGTGTTGTGGTGGTGGTGGAGAGCGCATGAGGACAAGGGTGGTGTCCATGGTGGACGGAGCTAACTTCTAGGGCCGTCTTTGGTGGAGTAGGACGACGACCGACCGTCTTCACGGGTGCCTTTTCCAGGTTGCCTTTGCGGCGCGACAAGGTTACGGCTACGACAAGCAGCTTCATTTACGGCGTCTCTTTTATTTGCCCTGCGCTCAAGTCTGCGCTAGCTCCGTCAACAAGCGTCACAAGTGGGCGAGACGCACGACTGAGAAAGAAACGCAGAGCCTGCCTAGGCCGAGCTGTTGTCTGGCCGGCCTTCGCCTGGTAATGCAGAATGATATTGGCAATGAAAAAGGATGGATGGAAGTGGGAGGATGGATATACTGAAGAAGCCGAAGCCGATAACGACGACAACGACGGAAACCTCAGAATTTTCCTACACATACACGGTGAGAGTACCCGATACTTTGAAGGATGCGCAGCAGGTGACGATTTGGGCTGGGAAAGCAGAGTTTCGAGTACCGACTCGGCCACTGTCTAGATCCATCATGATCCCCGTCCATCACGGGCACGGCAGGAGTTGTGCAGCATCCAATCAAGCTTGCGTTGCCTGGCTGCGGGCTGGTGGTGCTTGGTGCTTGGTGCTTGGTGCTTAGTGTTTGGTGCCGCCGGTGCAGCTTGAGGCGACACCAACGCAAAGACACCGAGCCAAAAGCAGGCAAGAGAGACAGACCAGAGGCTTCCAAACCCCACCCGACGCTGTCTGGGCACCCTTGGGATTTCAATGAGCGCCGCAGATGGGAAAGAGGGAGAAGGGGACGTGGAGAAATCACGAAGGATGCTTCACTTGCTGATGAGAGGGGGGTGTGAAGGAACATTCCAGGGAGCAGGCGACGGGAAGAAGGGCAGGGGGTGAGACCAGCGACGAGGCACCCGACGGACAGGCACCAGGTACGTACCTTTCCTTTTCCTTTCCCCGTCGTCAACTCGCCTCACCCTGTGCTTGCGTCCCATGCCTTGTCTCTGTCTTGCCCGGCGTCGGTAAGTGGTTGCTCACTCGCTGGAGCCTCTCTGTCTTGAGGTGGTCTGTTAGAGGTTCCCGCAACGTAGGTACCGCACCGCCTGCAATTCACTTGCTTCCATTCCAAGTGCGCTAACCCTATCTAGGCATGGCTTGGAAAGGTGGGTGAGAGGGAAAGGAAGGGCGAAAAAAAAAAAAAAGAGTCAACCATTCAGGTGCCACTCCACGACACACGGAACACACTCTCACTCAACTCTCATCAGTGTCTTTCTCTCACACACTTTTCCCCCCTTCCGCATTTCGATACCCACGCCCACCTGCATCCCACCTCATACACTCTCCCACTGTCCGGCTGGGGACCGTGACTCCGACTGCGGCTAGGGACCAAGGAGGGCAAGTGCGGTACGGAACGCGAAGGAGAGACTTGAGTTGAGGGCACTCGTCGAGAAGCGCAGCGCACTAGGCTTGACTGGGCCTGGATCGCTGGAGACATAAAACAAAAAGATTGAATGACTTGAGTGACGGCCTGGCATGAGCTGGACGTCCACTTGGTTTGGCACTTGGACGGCCAGGGACTGGGTGACTTGGATATTCACAAGGGACTACTCCGTACGCAGTGGACACTAGCCGGTATCATGGTGCAGTGCCTTTGCAGCATGGAGCGAGTATCCGTACCTGTCCTAACCTACGGCGTAGTAGGCCCGGCCATTAAGACGGGGGAACGAAGCTGGGGCGGAGACTGGCTGGCCTTGGCCTGGGTCTGCTGGCTTGCCCATGGATGGCTGTCGTCACTTTGAAAGCTGCTGCTCAAGGTATCCGGACTTGTAACAAGTTGGCTTGCGAGGTTCTGCTTTGCGTTGCTTGCTTCACTTTAAACTGATGATGGTATTGCGGATCTGCGAAGGTAGGCAGGCAGGCAGGGAGAATGAGCCCGAGCAAGCTGGAGGCTAGCCCCAGCTTGGTGGTATCTTCGCCGCCAATGCGCAGTGAGGCGGTACATAAGCGTGTCAAGCGCCAGCACCAGCACCAGTCCCAGCCCGTGAGCAACCAGCAGGCTAATAGGGCAATGGCACTTACGCAGCAGTTGTACGAATAGCTGCGCCAGGCCAGAGGAGGAGGAGGAGGCAGAGAAGATACTTTGTCAGGTACCTACCTACCTACGTTACCTGGCTGGCTGGCTGGTTGGCTGGTTGGCTGGCGTATCCGCAGGGTGCACCTTCAAACGCAAGTACTTTGTGCGCAAAGATGGTATGACACGGTACATGAGGCACCTCAGGGAAAGTAAGGTGCCTTGGCCTGACCGAAGCGGCCTCTCGTCCGTCCGGCGTGCCGCTACCTCTTTGCTTGCTGCAAACCTGCGGCAGTCCCGAGGTACCTACCTCCTTCTCCTGCGACATCCCTTCCCTTCCCTCTTGCAGCCCAGTGAACATGGAAGTTGCTGCGTAAGGTACCTTCCCACCTTACCCTGCCTACCACAAACCCGCCCCCTGGCTTTTTAGGTAGGAGGGGGCAAGAGAGGGGCTTCGTCCTCGTCCTCCTGCTCCTGCTCCTCTTGCTTGCTGCGCTGCGCTGCGCTGCGCCTGCTGGACTGGGCTGGCCTGGCTTAGGAAGGCTGGCTGGCTGGCTGGCCGTCCACTCGCTGAGGGGTCCAGCACCCGCACAAGAACCTGGAAGGAACTAGACTCAAGCAGGAGCGAGGTGGAGGAGAAGGCAGGCACCACACTGGGAGGTACCTGCGTTTACGGATAACTTCTTCTGCTGCGTAAAGTACCGATTCCATCGCAGACAGGGCATTCAGTCAGTCCGTCCCTCCTGCCCCCCCTCTCACTCTTTCCACCTCATCATCGCAGGGAACCTACCGCCGTAAGAAACCTCACCTCACAAAAGGCAGGTACGTACCTGGCGACATGGAACAAGGTACCTGCCCACCGTGAAGCCTTCCCTATCCATCCATGGCGACCCCTCCCCCCCCCCCCCCCCTCCTCTCTCTCTCCCCCAATCCCATGCTGTCCCATGCCACGGCCATGCCTCCTGTACCTTACCACAACGACCCATACGCTCTGTACTTCGTACGGCACACGGCGCGGATTGGATACACCACTACTCCAAGAAATGAGAGTCCAGACAACGAACGACGCAACCATATCACTAGACCCTTGCCTCCATTTTTGGCTTCAATCTACCCAGCTCCAGCTGGCTGCTTCGCTTCGTACCTGCCGCCTCTTGATCCCTTTTGACCCCATTCACTTGCTTCACTCCGTCTCCTTGTCTGACCTCACACCTCTTCTTCAATTGCCAATTACTTCATACAATACAATTCCACCAGCCTGCTCAAGTGCAACTGGACCTGCCTTTGCCCTCCAAGCCTTTGCCTTGAGACGACAACCAACTGCCCTGCCCTCCTGCAGCCTACCGAATCACGGCCCTCATTGACGACGCCCGCGAGCAACAACCCACCTGCCTACCTCATTTACACGGACGATCTGAACTTCACCCCCGACCTCTGCCTCGCCCGACTCTACTTCTTGACCTTCACCTAATCCGCCGCCGAGCTTCGCATTCTTCTCGTCCTCATTCTCCCACGAGATATCTGCGAGCCAGTCTCAAGTACCTCTTGAGCCTCCCCAGCTTGTCTTGACTTGTATTGCGCCTGCCGCAAAACTGCCTCGCAAGCTCCCCCCCACCTTGCCGGCAGACCACAGCAACGACTTCTCGTTTTGAGGAAGGCATCTCCGAAACCCCCTACCATGGCCAACAATTAGGAGCTTTCAAATAATAATTCGGAATACCAACTTACTCCCAACAAACCACCCACGCCCCGACAGCGAACCCGACGAAGTTGCGAAGCATTCGAGCACGGTAGACTTCTCTCCTGACTCGATCCTCTAGATTTCTGCCCTCCGCAAGACACCAGCAAGCTTCCTCAGTGAACCGCCAACCTCAAGTGCCTGCCACCTGCTTCTACTGCAAATGTAGCAGACGTCAGCGTTGGCTTTCCCTTCACTCGTGCTCTCCTCGACTCGTTCTCAACTCCACCGAATCACTCGACCAGCTTTCACTCACCCACGCCGCGAACGACCAACCTGAGGTCTTCCTCTCTCACGAACCCGTCTCTCCCCCGCTCCGATGTGTTCGACTGCTGCACCATTGCCCTTCTACAGCCTGCCCCTCTCTCCTGCACAAATCGCATCGTGCAGACAGAGCTACTCTCAGCAAACCTACCACGCCACCTCCTCGCAAAAGAACGCCAGGTTCAATCTCGGTGCCGGAGCTGCTCTTCGCAGGAGCGGGCTTCGCACGCCGCCAACCGAAGCCATGAGCGCTGCATACCACGCCCCTCAACTCGTCGCCTACGACAGCCATGTTCTCTCCTCCTACCCTTCAGCCGTTGCCCAGGCCAGAGGGCCCAAGGCCGTCGTCGCCGAGGCTGCGAGAGCCCCCCAGTACCCCAGATACCCTCAGTCGACAAATACCTACCCCCAACCACAGCCGGTGGTAAACCCTGCCTCCGCTACTAGCCAGTACTCCACCACCTCGAAGCACTCCACCCGCCCGTCGACACCGACATCAGGCGCCATCAACAAGACTGATGGCACCTCTTCACGGAGAGGCTCCTCTACCTTGGTCTTGCACAGCCTGCAAATCCCCAGCTGTATCAACCCCAAGGGCGGTAATCTGGCAGACTTCGCCGCCGAAGTAAGATTTACTCACCTCCTTGCATAGATGGACAAAAGCACTGACAATATGCAGATTACGTGCCTCTTCTGGTTCGAATCGATGGACACGTTGCGAGCCGCCGAGAAGATCCGATCCCGTCCTCCTACCGCTACCGTCCCCCGCTTGACCGAGTATGCGACGCCCTTTCCCCAGTTCAAGAAATGGGCCTACAGCGTTCTGTCGACGACACAAGTGACGCAAAACGTCATTCTGCTGGCTTTGCTTTTCGTCTACAGGCTGAAGACGACGAACCCGGTGGTTAAGGGCCGATCCGGCAGCGAGTATCGATTGCTGACGGTGGCCCTGATGCTAGGCAACAAATGTGACTGCAGATTTTCTATTGACTGTGTACGCACACGCTGACTGGATTCTAGTCTTGGATGACAACACCTACACGAATAAGACGTGGGCCGAAGTGTCGGGTATCTCGGTACAGGAGATCCACGTAATGGAAGTCGAATTCCTCAGCAACATGCGCTACAGTCTGCTGGCCACCAAGGACCAGTGGGAGGAGTGGTTGGTCAAGCTGGCCTGTTTTTCCGAGTATTACGAGCGTGCTCAGAAGCAACCGACATCGCCTCTGAACAAGTCCTTCACCTCACCGGTGCCGTCGCCCACCGCCGCCATGCAGCCTGCCGTCTCGTTCCCTCCCTTGACCCCTTCTGCTACCGCTATCTTCTCGCCCAGCACCGTCGCCCAACCGAGCGCCCAAGCATGGCCCTCGACTTACAACCCACCTGTCTCGCCCTTGTCTGGTAAGCACGCCAACATGAATGGCAGGAAGAGGTGCTCAGAGGAGGACGTTACCGAACCTCCGGCGAAGCGATTTTCGAGACAGCCCAGCACCATGCCTCCTGTCGCCCGACCCCCTGTTGTTGGCGAGCAGCCGATACGTCTCCCGGTTCCCAATTTGACGCTCAACACCAACCCTGCTTCCTCTCAAATGGTGTATCCCCCGACAACCACGTACGCTTCGCAGGGTCATGTCTCGCTTCCACCTCTGGGTAACGGAGTTCGCGCAATGGCGACTGTCTATCCTTCTGCGGCGGCCACCACATCGATGCCTCAACTGCCGATGCCAGCGCCCGTCTCAATGCCTCAGGCTTCGCTCACACCAGCTACTGTCCCGATGCATCCTGCCATCGGCTACGGCACGCCAACCAAGAGACACAGCCCCGGCAGCCTGTCGGTGTACGCTTCATCACCACTGGGCGAGCAATTCCCGGCCTCTGTCATCCACACCCCTATTGCGCATACGCCCATCTCTCACTCGCCTAGCGTTTACCTGCAACAGCGACCGAGTCCGTACAAGCCGATCCGTCATGTCAATACCCTACTCTACCCACCGCCGTCGGCCTCTCTGAACGAGTATCACCTGCCGACCACGCAAATGCACTACCAGCCTCTTGGCAGGCGCAACGACCTACGAACTGGAGTTGTTCCTGAGTTCATGAACAACCCCTACAGAATGAGCCAGATGTCTCAGATTCCCCATGGTCTTCCTCAGGGACCGTACCCCAACTAGGCGTGGGGGTACTTCCCAACACTACGTACTTGAACACATTTTCGACGCATGTTTTACATGGGATTTTTCAACTTGGTTATTGTCTTTTCAGCATTGCATTGTTTACGGCGTCGGAAGGGCCTCATTTTTACGACCAGTCTGAGCAACGGCCGGAATTCTTTTGATGCTTGAGGACAAATGGTATTGGGGTGATGAAAAGGATGAAACTCATGGGTCACATTTATTCGTCTCAAAATTTGCATCAGGCAGGAGTTATCATGTCTTCCATCTCTTACCATGGATTGGAACTGGTGAGTGGGACAATGAGGAGGAGGACTTGGTTCCGTGTAATATCTACCCGAGTGCATTCTATGCACAAAAGAACAACCCTGGCATGGGTAGGAAGATTCAGGATTTTTGGTTCTTCCGACGGCGTCAATCAGCCGACGAGAGTAGATAGATGCAAAATGTCAGCAATGACAGCACTAGATCTTGAAAGATCAAGACAAATCAAATCAGTAAAACTGCAGGGGCAATGGAAATGAAAACATGTGAAATGATGGTTGGTGGTGAGAAATACATTGAGTTGCGGCATTGACCAATGAAATGGTAGCAGTGACAATTCGAATTTGATGATGTCGCTGCGAACACGGTGTGAAGAGTGCTAAATCCACGCGAATACTGTATGACTAAGGGAATTGGCTGAGAGCGTTGGAGAGGATCGGACTTGTGCCCGATGGCCAGCTTGGAGCTGACTGGTCAGACTTGAATGCAATAAAGGAGTTTTTTTCCAGCTTGCTTGGTACGTCTGATATTCGTGATAGTCTAGGCCCCGAGGGGAGAGGGGGCTGATGATGGGATGGAAAGCCATGCTCGCGGCCTGATGGTCGCGATGGGTGGTCGAAGAGCAGTGTTGATACACGTAGATGTTGAAAGGGCTGGTGGTGGCGGTGGTCTCTGTTGGTCAATTTATTGCGAAGGGATAGGAAGAGGCCAGAAAGAAACACCTTTTCTATCCTTTAGGTCTTTTTGCGGGAATAGAGGCGCTTCGTCGGATGAAGGTAAAAGACGACCTGTCGGTTTGAATTCTTTTGGGACAAAGATTTACTTGGTTCTAATGTGTGAATTGGAAGGCAGATCCTGCGGGACAAAGAGTGGCCGAACTGCCCAAAACCCAATTGTCCGGCCGATGGCGAGCATGTCGATTCGACTTGTCACGAGAGACTGGTCATGGCGTATGGTGGTCTGTCCGGCCTTGGGTCCTTGAGCGGTGCAGGATGTATCAGGCCAGGTCTGTATACCACGACTCGGATCGACGAGACGCGCGCTGTACACGGGTCACGATGGCGGTTGTTTTCATGGTGATTTGTTAGGATATATAGAGGAGCCAGGAGTAGCGGATGGTGAATTGATATCCCTTCATCGAAATCGCCATTATTAGAAACACCTCGCACAAATCATTCACATAATCAAGATACACACTCAGTACAAGATGAGGCCTGTCGATGATACAATTTACGCCATCGGCGCTGAGCGCAAAGGCGAGAGTCATAGGGTCTACGCTGTCAAACGCGTTTGCCAGAACAACGGCGTCTATGACCTGCGGTTCGGGTCTCGAGGCAGCGGCGCCGGGGGAGAGGACAATCTCATGTTTCTCAGTCCCGGTGAGCCTCTCACTCGGGAGCAGACGAGGTATTTGCGGAAGCTGGTCGGACGAGAGATGGAGCTGAGCGAGGATGCTTCTTTTGTGGGTTCTTTTCTTCCTACTGGCAGTTTGGGTTGCTGATGTGGGAATAGGAATGCGTCGTCCGGTACAAGGATTTCATCGAAGAGTTCGGCGACAGAAAACAGGCGATTCGTCAGAACACTACCCTACCGTGTGCGCTTGTCATGAATAAGCTCGAGTTCGAGTGGAGCGGCCTCCTGGCCGACGACATATTACGAAAGCTTCAGGATACTGATATCGTCAACGTGGCCGTGGACATGCTCTCCGCGCTTACGTACCTCCACGCCCTGGGCATCGTCCACGGAGACGTCCGGCCGCAAAATGTGGTCCCGTACAGGGACACCACTCAACCCCATGGAGACTGGCATAGGCAGCATAGATACAGACTCTCCGGCCACGGGCTCGTGCCGGCCATCTTTTCCAAGTGGGCGGAGTCTCCCGGCGAGATGTATACGGCGCCCGAGTTCGCGGGAAGAGGCCGATACAAGCCGACGCGGGAGAGCGACGTATGGATGCTCGGGACGATGTTGCAGGAGCTCCACGAATCCCGGTATAAACGCATCCCGCAGCCCATCAGTGCGTATTCGGAGTTTCTGACGAGAAAGGGAGCCTGCGAGTACCCGGCTATGCGGGTTTGGCATGACTGGCTTGAGGCGCTGGTGGCCAAGTTGCTGCAGGACAAGCCGGGAGATCGGCCCCGGGCAGAGGACGCGTTGACGGGCCTTCTTGAGGAGAAGTTCAGGGCTACTGAGGGTGGTCAGGTGGGTGCTGAGAAGAGGGAGATGAAGGAGACTATCAAGAAGGCCAAGGCGGAGAGATGGCGGGCAACTACGATGGGAAAAGTTTGGACGTGGTGGTATTTCCGTGTGAATAGGGGCTTTGAGCGATTGCTCTTGATGTGGTTTGGTTTGTATTTGTGTAGGATCTGCTTTCTTTACGTTTGAGTCAGGGATGGGCGGGCAATTTGGTTTCTGCTTAGAAAGGAAAGATGTGTTTCTTGAGGTTAAAAATTAGAGAATGGACTACCTGCAGATTAATTTTCGGTGGATTCCATCTAATTTGCAGCGGTTGGTTAGTCGGTCGTCAAGGACCTCATCTCATCACATCACCCGGCCCATGCTAGGTCTGTAAGTTTGGGAATCTGGCGGTGTCCTTGGACCCTTTCTGGGGAAGTGAGATGGCCACCTACCGTGGCTGTTGAAACAAAGTCAAAGAGATAAAATGAGTGTCTGAATTTTATGCCATTTAGAGTGTGTGACATGCACATGATCATTGATGAGTTCCTTGCGTGGAGAGGAATAATGATCAAAGTGTTAAAGCAAGCTCAGAGGTTGAAAGGGCCCTTGGTTTCGATAGAGAGGTTACCATATGGCCTGTCTCATGATTCCGATTCTTAGACCATTGAAGGAGCGACGAGGTGAGATGTTTCAGACCGGGTCTGCCCTCGAGGACCGGAATGGACAAGCTGTAGCTTCATCGTGGCCGCGGTATTGAGGGCATCAGTTCACTCATGATGATGGTATAAAGACACGCCATATCGCCGTCATCTTGTCGCATGAACAGCACTACCCACGATTCACACTTCAAGATGACACCCACATAGCACAACCTCGCTGGCGTTCCGGATCAAGCCGGAAGAGCAAACAGATACACGACTACGGGCTTGAAGAGAGATGGGTACCAGAAGAATGTTTACGAGTTGCACGGCGGTCACCAGTTAAATGCGGAACAAGGTCAGAGCAACTTGATGTTCATCAAGTTCGTCGGCCGCAGCCCCGAGGAAAAGAGTGAACTTGAGCGATTTGCGAAGGAAGAAGTTTCCCTGGGTGAAGATATTGCTTTTGTAAGTCACGCACACCGTAACTGCCTCGCTGATTGGGGTTCCAAAGCGATAGACCGGCCAATGCTAACAGTATGTAGGAGTCAGTTGTCCGTTACAAGGACTACATTGAAAAGAAAAACATGCTGGTGGTCGAAGAAGCAAATTGGAAGGGCATCGAGCCTCGAACGTACATATCCGATGAAGAGCTTATGGTTTTGGCCGTGGACGTGCTTTCTGCGCTGACGTATCTTCATGATCGACACCAAGTGCACGGGTATGTCCATCCCAGCAACATCATCCGTTTTAAGCGTCCTGCAACGGAGCATGGAGACGAACCCTGGGGATACAAGCTCATCGGGCATGGGCTTGTGCCAAAGGTCATGTGGACTTGGAATGATATCCCTGGAGACCAGTTCACCCCGCCAGAGTTCCGTGGTAAGAAGAGTGAGTATCAGCCGTCTGAGGAGGGCGATGTGTGGATGCTCGGGCAGACTTTGGCTGAACTGCACTCCCGGGCTGGAGGATGCGACAAGCACCGGCATGGTCAGCTCCACGACTTGCTAAAGAAGATGCTGAAGCCGACGCCTGGCGAAAGGATGAAGGCCCAGGTTGCACTTAATACAATTGTCGGCGAGTATTTGAAGAATATATATTCATCCATGACAGTGGCGTTGGCGCCTTTGGAGGAAGCCAAGAAGAGGGCGAGGGAAGAAAGAAGGGGAAGGTATGTTATGGGAAGACTTTGGTTAGACCTTCAGAGTCTTCTTTTCTTTGTTATGTTTTATGTTTGCTTTTTGTCTTCCATTGCTACTAAGCTGGTTTGAAGTTGGTATAAAGGTGAAGAGGGCGAGAAGAGGTGGGGGACGCTTTGGGAGGCAACCTTGGATTTCACTTTAGACGGGGGAAAACAGCTTATAGAGGTTGGGATGTAACTGACGTTTCGTATTACTGGATTTGAATGAATATTTCTTCACCTTTTTTTAGACTGATTCCAGCTTCCATACTTATCCTATGTTCTCGTCTCATCGTCGTCATTGTCAGCATATGGGTCGAGGTTGAATTTAGATCAAAGGCAACGCTCAATAGATCACTGACCTCCTTCCCAGCTAACATCAGAAATGACCATCTCCACGACCGCTCTAGCTCCCGAAGTGTCGTCACACCCGCGCCGGTGCTCAACATCGCCACGCATTGACCAATCACCAGCCATCACGTCACGACCACGCGCCGTCTAGTCCCAATCTCCGGTAACATTCCATCACTCCCCTCGTGGCCGAGTGACAACAGGACCAAAATGCGACGGTAAGCAGTAACCCATCTAACGCACCCTCAAACCCTCACGGGACGTGCCTTTCCGCCGAAGCAACCCATCGCGGATCTCATCATCATCACCATCTAAGGACTGAGGGAAACTCACCCTCAGCATGCCCAGGCACACCACGAAAGAAGAAAAGGCATAGGGACAGATCCAGGAGCGCGGTGCCTCGCGCAGCAACCTTCCGGGGACCATTCCCGCGCCAGGGGTTGTCTCGCACGCTCTTCCCCTGTCTGTTCTTCCTGCCGCTTTGCGCAACGACGGGTCCATGTGGCATCCGAACCGCGCTACTAAGTTTGCCGTAATACAAAGCCACACATTTGGTGTCCTCTCTCACCAGCGTCCTCAACCGTCAAGCCTGTTAGAAATTAGACTAGATCAAACTAGCCTCATTAATTACAGAGTCACAGTCTTAACACAAGCTGAAATATATGACATCTCTCCTCCCGTACTGTTTCTCACCTCACTCCTTCCCTCTCCAGGCAGCGAGGCCTCACCCGTCTGCATAGCCTCGACATCCGAAATACGCCTCAACCCTCAGACCGTCCGATCCACGCTTCACCGGCCCGGCGGTCGCCCCTTCCCAGCCATCTCACCCATCAAAACTGTCCGAATTCACTCCCAAAAAAATCTTCGCCCAGCTGATATCGTCGACTCGCGCCATACCGCAGGATAAATCCCTGTGTAAGCGGCATCGTCCCAAGAAACCGGCTTTGACTCTGCCTATCGACCTCCGCCACCGTTTTCGCGTTCTCATCCGACTGGCAATCGTCGCTGTTAATACCAACACGCCGGGTTGAACCTCGCTCGGACCGAATTCCAGACTCTGGAGGTACGGACTCTGACACCGGGGAACTCGAAGCTCAAGCCGTCAAACTCTCGTACCGCACTGTCGTTGTCCGTCGGTGTAGGGTTCTCCCTTTGATAAATTCCACACCTTGGTATTTTCTTTCGTCTTTGATAGCTTACCCTTCTTTCTTTGTCTGTCTTTGACGGAGAAGGGAAAGGGAAGGTTCATATACCGCCGCTTGAGAAGGACGGCCAACATCTCACCTGCCTTCGCAACAACCCGAAGCAAAATTCTCATCACGACCACAGGCAACATCAAAAATCTCACAAAATGCCTCCCTCCCGCAGCCGCCGCTCCTCCTCAGTATCTTCCTCCGACTCCTACCGCTCAAGATCTCGCTCCCGTTCCCGCTCACCGCCGCGCTCCCGCTCATCCTCAGCCGGCCCTCACCCCCGCAACGCCCGCCGGAGCCACAACAACAACAATAACCGCCGCCCTCGCCTCCCCAAGAAGAAGCCCTCCTTCAAGACGACGGCAGTCCTCATCGCCGCCATCGCCGTCGCCACAATCTGCATCCACCGCGTCTGGCACAAACGCAAACACCCAGAGGTCCGCGGCCCCCACTGGGACACCCTCAACGCCCCCGGCCGCCACTCCCGCCGCCGTAACGTCGTCCGCGACAGACACAACGGGTACGTCCCCGAGTACGACCGCCCTCCGCGAAGGCTGCCGCCGCGCAGGGGGCCGCGGTATTACGAGGACGAGAGTGATGGGTACTTTTCCGATTACAATCCTCCGCCCAGGACGTACCGTCTTGCCGAGGAGCCGAGGGGGCAGAGGCTGACAGAAGAGGCCATCATGGGGCCGCCAAGGGATGAGATTGTGAGGTACGCGAAGACGTCTGGGAGGTCGGAGGCGGAAAGTAGCAAGAGGTTCTTTGACGAGGACAACCGGTCGAGGAGGGTGGAGGATGCCGTTGAGGACTGGAGTAGGAGAGGCGCAGCCCGATTTCCGTCTCCTGATGGGCGAAGGCCAGAAACTGTGTACGATGATAGGAGGTCGAGGCGACGGTCAGATTACTACTGAAGACGGCGGGGACCAGAAGAAGCTAGAAAAAAAATCATCAAGTTCAATCTCATCTAGCCGTGTTATCTATCGATGAAATGAGCCATTGCTAATGCCTTGCCACCAACTCCCTGAAGCGTGCCGCTTTCCAGCTCCTGGATGCAATCCATCATTATGTTCGTCTACTCCGCGCTCAACGTCGGAACCTCTGCATTCGGCACTGGTACCTCGGCACTCGACACTGGCGCTGCCGTCTCATTACTGGTGTCACTCGGGGCAACACTTGGCAGGCGCGGCATCAGCCTCATCTCCATATCCACAGCCGCCTGCCAACCCTCTCCTCCGGTCCTCATAACCAAAGGCGTGCTCAGCTCGGCAGAAAAATAGCTCTCTCTACGAGTACTACCGCGCGCCACGCCCTCTTGAGCCGAGAGCGCACTTCGAGTACTGCGCATTCGCTTGCCAGGCCTGCCACCCTCGCTGACAAGCGAGCTTCTCTGCTGGCGCTCTTGCATTGAACGGTGATCGTATCCGATAATGCTGCGCACATATGGTGCGACTTCGAGTGTTATCATCCGCATAGTCCTGTCGAATACCGACGGCTCAAGACTGTTGGACATGCTTGCCAGTGCCTTCTCTGAAGCCGCAATCGGATCGAACGCCAGACTCATATCATATCGTGAGACGGCTGTGTCTTTCGTCGGCTTGTTGAAGGATCGCCGCATCTGCTGAATTGCCTTGCCCTCCCCGATGTGATCCATGCTGACTGCAGACTCAGCTTTGCTGGGGGCAGCTTGGAGGGTCTGACGGGCGGCGGACTTGAGGCTGTTGGAAATGGCGGTGGCTGTGTAGGTAAATGTCGTAAGTGGAGGTGCTTCAAGGAGTCGCCGTCCAACGACAAAGTCATCGCGCGACTTGCTTGAGATATCTGGCTGGGTAGGGTCAAGGGACTCCTGTCGACAGTCAGTTTTGCTCATCCAAAAGGACCAATTCACACTTACTTGTAATCTGAGCCCAAAGTCACCACTAGAGCAAAGATCAGCTGCACACATCGCCTCTGAAAAATCACAGAACACATCAAGTGCGGCAGCTCGGTCTCCAGCGGAAGAAGTGTGTACGCTTTCGGCCCATGATGCCATGTCGAGGGAATCATGCCAGTTGCCCAAGTCCAAGCCCAGGCCCTGCCAGCACTGTGTCATCAACTCCTCCTCAGAGGCAAGGGAGCTGCCGGTGACTGCAGGATCCCTGCTTATCCATCCCATTCCCTCTAGATATGTCCCTTCACTCACAACACGGACAACATCGCCGTTCTCATCTTTGTCGCATCCTTTGGGCCAACGCGGGTAGAGCCAGTCAAAGCCACCTCGTCGATCGCCAACTCCAAGCTGGCACCAGTAGTTGAGTTCCATCAAAGAAGCCCGCAAGTCGTGTCCCTTTGCCTCATAGAGTGCACTCACAGCTGCGCGCTTCAGAGCATGGCCTTCATTCGCAGCGATGAGAAGAAGCACGTCTACAGCCAGGTCTTCAGGAGGAGGTGTGAATCGGAAGATGCCATAGAGGACAAAGTTGTGGAACGGAACAAGATTCTCGTCGTTGCAGGTCATGACAAAGGGCCTCTTTGACTGGACAATCAAATTCATGATGGTTGCCCAAAATTGCTTGTCCTCTTCGTAAAGAACGTCAACTTCCTCAAGAAGAATCAAGGACTGCTTCTGGTTTTGGGTCTTTGCCTTGGTGGTCTTGGGTGCCTCAACTGGCTGCTCAGTCTCCTGCTCGGGTTTTGGTTCGGCTTGAGGCTTCGACTCAGGCTTGGTCGCTGCTTTGGGTTTGAAGAAGGACATCATGGTGTTTTGTTTGCCAGATTTAATGTCTTTGGATGTTTCGTCGTCCACGGCTTTGCTGTCATCCTTTCCTTGGCGATTTTGCTGGACGAGATGGTTTTGTGTCATGTCTCCGACCTTTTCCATCACATCCTTGCCGTTTCGGCGGCTGCTCGCATTGATCTCGAATATCTCGAAGCCCAGTTCCTTTGAAACCGCATAAACCGCCGCAGTCTTGCCAGAGCCATGCGGACCGCTCAGTACAACAGCATTGGTTAGTCGGCTGAGGTCTTTGCCAATGTCTCTGCGAACCACGGTTTTCTTGGGACCACCTTGACTATGGGTAGGCAACCAATCGTCCTCGTCATCATCAGAGACACTCGGCAGGAACTCTGTCTCGTCGCCATCGGATACAATGAAGTTGTCCAACTTGTTGCGCTTCCGCTTCTTCTTTGTCGCAGATCCAGGCTTAGCACCAGACGACTTCTGATCGGCGGTTGCTGTACCGGTATTCACAGACTGGACCCTCAGTGTCTGGAGCCATTCCTTGAGAAGTACACCCTCCTTGCCACTTTGCAGCACTTCTTCTGCAAGGATAGGCGCGTATTTCTGCGCCCAAGTGAGCTCTTCACATTGAGACCTGTCGTATGCGGAAAGATTGGTCTCGAGGGAATTATATAAGCGAGCAACAGCTGGGTGAGGCTTTCGGGTGGATGCCGTGAGAACCTCGTCATCACTCTCGTCGTTCTGGCTCCCAAGAGGCAAGCATGTTCGTAGCTCAGGTTTGATCCGTGAACGCAGCTTGCGGCCACTCTCAAAGTGCTTTCCCGGCAGGCGAAGCTCAGGTGGAGGTGGTTGGTAATCATCAGTTGTATCCTGGAGAGACTTCATGATGCCGAGGGTGTCTAACGACTTGACAAGCATATCAATGACTGATTCGCCGGGCAAGATATTGGTGTTTTGGCCCTTGGACTTCCGATCAGAGACTTGGAGTTGCTGGACAGCCGCGGACAGTTGTTCTTCCTCTGTTGTCAACCCCCTGACATGGGCCATTCCCTGGGCTGGCCATGCTGGATGACATGATCCTGGCACCTTGAGTCCCAAGGATCGCATGCCAAACTGCGGGATCTTTCCGGTCATAGGGACCGCGCGTTGCTTCTTAGGCGAGCATGGCGTAGAACTGAAGATGGTTTGCCTTGGTGGTTTCGGTGCAGGAGCTGGAGACGCGTCGGATTTTGCTGCATTCTTGGCCTTTCCAAGAAACATTGGATGCGTAGTGCCCGATTTCGTCTTATCCTGCTCCAATTTTGTAGCTTTGGCTCGAGGTTTCTTGGGCGTCGTCTTCGACTTCGGACTCCCCTTCTTTGGGGACGGACTATCCAGAATCTGTTGTATCTTGGGACCAATGCGCGCGCGCGTCTCTGTATCATGGCCATATCTAATAGTAATGATGCGGGTCGGCTTGGCGGGCGACTTTAAGGACTTGGCGCCTTTGGAGCTCTCGGCGGGAGCTGGCTTGGGCTTGGGCGGGGACCCAATTGTTCCAGTCTTTGGGTTGAACTTGAGGACCTTGTTCGGCTTCGACTGGTCTTGGTTTGCGGAAGGCAGCGCTGCGCCTGCCGTAACGGTCGACGAGACTTCAGAGTTCGTCGGCGGAGCTTGAGGAAGCAATACAGAGACTTCTGGGACAATAACTGGCTCGGGAGGAGGCGTTCGTGGGACTTCGTTGGCGAGGGCAGTTGACGGGACACCGTTGTTCTGGGAGAAGTGGCTCGTTATATCGTTCGCCGGTACACTCGTCTTCTTTCTAGGGCGTCCCCTCTTCTTGCCTGAGCCCGGTCCAGCACTGCCAGTCTTCTGTCTCTTGCGATCGGGTCCATCCTCGTCAATGTCGGAAGAGTGCGGTTCAATGTCGCTGGATGGTTGCTGTAAAGCGTGTCTCTGCTTCTTAGGTCGTCCAGGTTTCTTGATCGGGGTCTGCTCGTTTGCATTTGGAGGTTGGTCTACCGCGTTTGCCTCGGGCATTGGCAAGTCGTTGCTCTTTCCTGCGACAAAGAATGGATGAAGTTTCTGGTTGGAGCCATCGAGCCCTTCTGGGGCCATATTGGCTACCAAGAGTGTTCCCATGAGATGAGACGAAGCTGGATTTAAGATCTCGAGGTCAGTTATTGCATGATTGAGAACGTGGGAAGCCTTTTGAAAGGTGTTCGTGTTTGGCACTTACGCTTCGGCCGTCGCGCCTTCAAACTACGTCAGAGGGCATGCGACTGGATGAGAAAAACCTAGGATGGGGGGAAAGAAGAGAAACAGACTCTTTAAGCCAAAAGAGTTGCTGACAAGAGAGTTTTGTGCAAAAACAAGCTCCTCGTGAGATTGTAAGGTCGAGTCGTAAGCAGGGAGTTGTGGAGGGGTGAGGGACGGCGATGTCGAGACTGGAGCATCACCAGTCGCGTGAATCGCGTTGGGAGAATCGCCGGGGGCAGCAGCGTGTAGCGCGACTGCCATTAGTGTTCAATTAAGGTACACTTAACATCCTAGGCCCACAGACCCACATCGCATTCCTCTTATCACACATCCTTGCCCATCTTATCTGCGTTATCGATATCGGCTTCCGGAGGGTAATAATCCGAAGGCAGAAGCTGAGCTTTTTTTCGGGCACTGTCTCAGCCAACTAGGCTACTGCGGCTTTGACAGTGCGAACTAACCAAAATCTTGCTATCGCACCCCACTACGGAGAGTCCTCCCAACTTTTTTTTTCTCGACGTGAAGCCATCACTTACACGGCCGGCGCTTTTGGACCACACGACCAATTGCAGCAGCAGCAGTCCAACCCAGGCCTTGCCAAGAACGCATCTGGATCGCCGAGACCGTGTCAAAGCTATCGAAGACCCAAAATGGCTCCCACATTTCGCATCCACCGGCCGGATGTTCTGGCGTCGTTGCCGCGTCCTCTCGACCACACGAAGGGCCAGTACCACATTGGCGAGGTGTATACCCAAAAGGCTGGCTCGAAGAAGAGGAAGAGACTTGAAGTCGTCGTCGGTGTCGATGGCGAAGCAGCCAACATCTACCATGTCAGTTTCAAGCTTCGGTGTCTTTCTGGCCCCTTGCTAACCGTTGTAGATTCCTTCATCCGGACTGCGAACTTCCTACCCGATCCCGCCTCAAGAGTCGTTCACCTGCGCGCCGCACTCAATCCGATACCAAGATTCTTCCGCAAATGGTCGCAACAACTATACATATCTGTCTACCCAAGACACGACTGGTGCCAAGATCACTCTCTGCCGTGACGTTGTCGACGCGACCGGAAAGACCAACTCTTCGAGCACCTCGCAGCGCGTGCGCCATAAGTCGCCGGTTACTTACCTCTTCACATCTACTGCTGTGGATGCGACCGGGACCGAACTGGACAAGGATCAAAAGGGCGACGTGATTGGACTCTGCAAAGATGGCCAGGTCGTCTGCCTCGGCGCGGAGGATTTGGAGCAGAGGTGGAGCGCTTCCTCGTACAACCTGTGCAAAGACTTGCTTCCATCAACAGTCGCAAAGTACGAGGTGGAGTTTGCGCTTCACGCAACCGCTTCTGAGGTTTTGAATGGCGTGTTTCAGGGCCGACAAGACGCTTTCGGCTCTTTTGGACGTCAAGTCGATCCCAAGACCTTCAACCCGGATGTCCTCACCATCGTTGTCCGTGCCGAGGGTGAAAACACCGCATCAAGGTTCCTCATCGTTCTGGGCGTTCTGCCCACGGTTTCTTCGCAGCCTCTAGTCCAAATTCACACCACCCCTCTGCCATCTCAGGAAGAGACCTTGGCAGAGACTGCCAGCTACCAGCTCCACGTTCAGTCCGGCAAGCTGCTCCAGCTGAGCGGACCCGTCCTCCGAACTTACGATCTCACGAGCGCCGTACCGAAGCTTCAGGGACGTCTGCCGCTCGCCGAGAACACCTCGTTCCTCCAAATCTCGGAGCACTCGATTCTCAGCCTGTCTTCCAAGACCGCCAGCATCCTGAACCCCACCTTCTATTCGATTCAAGCGTCGACAAAGGTTGAGCTCCCCGAGGGCCACGACCAGGCGCCGAGGCTAGTGACTTTCCTTTCAAAGCTCGATATGGCTGTGTCGGTTGTTGGCAACACTCTCGTCTCCATCCAGATTGAGCGTCCCAAGTCCCACGGGAAGGAGGGTCTGCTTATCGACTCCATCGGCCGAGGTCTGCCGAGAGGAGACAGAGTGCCGGCCAGTTTGCCCAAGGGATCTGGCAACAACACATTTGAGCAGTATCTCCCTGGTACGCTTTCCGACGCGTACGTCAAAGAGTCGCTCACAGATGTAGAAAAGGCAGATGGTTTCCTGCTGGCGCAGGACTGGAAGGCGTTTGAGAGCTTGCTAGCTCAGAGATTTGGTGTTGCTATCGACGAATCCGCCGTTCTTGATGGAGTGCAAACCCCAGACTGGAAGTGGTTGGAACGATCAGAGACGTACCCTGCCGTGGATCGCCGGTGGGTACTCTACGCTATCAGCAGAGTGTTCACGGTGGACACGTCAGGACCAGAAGCCGTTTTGCGCTGCGTCCTCCCTGCCAGCAATGTCTTGATCTACCTCATCTCGGCCGGCCACCTCACAAATGCCAACATGACTGCAGCTTTCAAGGGCGAGATAGCTGAAGGGGCCCAGGAGCCGGTTGTGGACAAGCTCATCCAGCGACTCGCCGATATGGACCCAATGATGGAGCTACTTATGAACTACGTTTCATCGACCAAGCTCGGCGAGAGGGAGCTCCTCCTGGTCATCCGAATCATCATGCGCAGCCTCGACCAGCAGTCCAGGCTGCTTCTCCCCGCGCCCAAGGAGACGAAAGAGGAGGACTACGTCGAGATGGAAATCGATCACTTGGAGAAGGAGTTGGAGCTGGCCGAGTGCCATCTGGGAGACGACTCGAACCTCCGCGCCCGAACCCTCACGACGGCATTTGAGAAGCTCGCCAACTACTCTTCTGTAGCGACAGTGCGGGCTCTGCGGGAGACTTTCAACCCCACCGAGGTCCTCTCCCTTATCCACCTCCTGAGAGTACAGCTGATCGGCAGCGCGTGGACCTCAAGATACGTCGACACCACAAACTTTGACCGCGACGATGCTTCAAGAGCCCCTCCCGACGGTGCTATCTCCCTTATTGCCGAGCTTCTGTCCCGCTGCATCGACTCGGTCGGCCCCAGCGGCTGGCTCACCAACGGCTTCTCCGGCGACCAAGCAGATGCGGCTGACTTCATCACCGCCCTGAAGCTCGAGGTCAGCGCCGCCCTGGAGGGCCTTGAGGAGGCCGTCACGTTGGGCGCCTTCGTCGGTGACGCGGTCCAGTACGGCAGCACTGCTGCATCGGCTGCAAAGTCCTCATCAGCCGCACGTGGGCAGCAGAAGCCGGTGTCTCTCGAGGTGGAGATCTCGCCTCGTCTGCCGCTGGGCCTGGTGTCTAAGCAGGCCGTGGCCAACCACAAGATCGTCTCGGGCGGTGAGGTGCTCGAGAGGACCTCGCGTGAGAGGGGACTCCTGCTGAGTCAGAAGGTCAAGGCGTACTCGCTGGAGAGGATTACCATTTGAGCCGCATGTCAGACGAAGGACGTGTTCGACGCGGGAGGGCGATGCTACCATGTGAGATTATCGATTTGCACGTTGGAGTTAGGGCTGAGAAAAACAAAAGGGGTGGCTCTGCACGGGCTGTAAGTCCGGGGCAATAGAACGCGCCCCGGAGAAGGCGGCCTGGTGGCAGGCAGGCAGTGAAGGGAAGACGAAAAAGAACTAGTAGACAGAGCCAACGCCCCCATTGGAAAAGATACCATGAACGGATACCGAAGCGTACATTCTGCGGCGCGGCCTGGCGAAGCGAAACGAAGCTAACCCGGCTACGATCGGTGAGGCCATCCACATCCAGCTACAGTGACCTGGAACCGCTTTACCTCCCCCATGGCCAGATGGAATAGCATAATAAACTTTGCATTGATTGAACAATGGTAAATGGTCAAGAAGCGACTCATACCGGAAGGAGTTTCCCAACGGCAGCTGACATGTCGACCAACGTAGAGCTGGGCTGACTGGCGGATTGCCCTTGCGGACGGTGAACGAATCGGAATCGTGCAAGTCTTCCGCCGGTGTGACACCAAACGGCAAACAAGTGCCAGCCCGGAGGTTTATTCAGATGTTGAGAAGGAAAGAAGATGTACACAGTTCCATTGTGATTACTTGCCTGCAAACAAGAGCCTCTGAAAGTATCTTCCGCTTTGTCTGCTTTGCTTGGAAATAGATCTCGCTGTTGCTTGAGTCATTCGTTCGGTGTGTCGAACGGAGCTCAGGCGCGGCATTTTTTCTTCATGTTCAAACTTACCCAGCTAGCTTCTCAACGTTTCGCGTTTTTGGCTTCGTTTCTTTTCTTTGAGTCAGCTTCTGCTTCATGAATAATCAAGAAGTTCAATGTTCAAGCGGAACACACACCGAGAAGAAAAGTCTACATTCGCAATCCTCGGCGACATGTGGTAAAAAGGAGATCAAAGCTGCGGGACAATCCCGTCAGAGCATATGCACCCGGGCCCGAGCTCCGTCAGATGGGAAAGCCGATCCCGCCCTACCCTCCAATGCATCCCACGTCTGACCTTGCAGCTACTCATTGGCTGATCAGAGGTTCGGGCGCGGTTGCTGCCTAGGTTTGGTGAGTTGGACAACAGTAATCTGACAGCCTCACTGTCTCAAAATCGATAGTTTGTATGGGAGCACGAGAAAGAGTGTGTGGTGTGTTAGATGCGGTTTGGTCGTGGATGGTGGGTGGCTCAGCATAAGCAGCAACAATCGCTTCTCCAGAGGAACCAAGCTGCATGAGCTGATGCGCCAATCAGAATGCGCCGCCGACCACGCCTGACATACTCCAACATCTGAGCTATGAAGCTACTGCTTGCACTTGCATGCTGCGGATAGCATCTCTTGTTCGTCCCCCGCTTTCGGGCTGATGAGGCTTGGTCGGGCAGCTTGCTGCGACGCTACCGACTGCGAGAGAGCCTGGAGGTGCTCCCCGAGGAGGCAAAACATTGTACAAACATTGCAAAAACAGGTGATGTTGGTCATATCCAAAACGGAGAGAGAGACGTCGAAGTAAGGCGAGCTTTCCTGCTGTACAACCTCCAGGAGTGTTCACGGCAGTGTGCAGGCATGTGCCTGGTTAGAAATCGAACAGCGCAAAGCCCAGCTATGCGACATCTCATCATATCCGTAAGACGAGACGAAAGTGAAGTTCGGCAGGAATAGGGAACCAAAAAGTAGAGGCGGAAGAGTCAGAACGTCTCTTGAGAGTTTGTCGGGAAGAGGCATTTACACGGAAATAGGGGAGATATCTCGTGCAATGCCCGCCGCTCTGTTCCATGCGTCGAGGCATCAAAGTGACTGCGTACGTATTCCACAACCAAAAGACGATTCGATTCGTAAGCAGACTCGCAACGACCGCGTCTGGTGCTGTTTCCGCAATGCAGCCTAGAAGCCATTTTCGAAACGGAACGGAATGCCTTGACAGTGTCAACTCTCTTTCCGTTTCTTCTCGTTCTCGAAGATACCTCTCAGAGGCTAAGAGTAAGAAAGCGTGGTGGACCCTGAACACGGGAATGGAAGACGATGTTCTAGAAGGCCCGTCCTGCCCCCTCTAGCGTCGTTTCCCTTCGTGTCAATGGCGAATGGCATCTTCGCGCAGGCCAAGACGAACCATGGCACTGCACTGCACTACTACTGTAGCTACTGCTGCATGACCGATTTTGCTTTGCCTTTTGCCCCCCGTATTCTGCGTGTTCGTGGGTTCCGTATGGTATGCCATCTTGCAGAATCCCCACCTCGACTGGAACCCCTATTCTGTACGTGAACGAGAAGGCAAAAAAAGAGAAATTTTCTTTAAAAAAACTGAAGTAGCTAGTTTTTTTTTTGGGTTGGTCTTGTGCTTCAACACGATCTCGGGGACCGCCGGAGGACCTCTCCCAGCCAGTCATGGAACGTTTCCTGCGGGTTGCCGTTCGCGTTGTACAGTAGCGGCGCAGAGGGGGCCTCAAGGACCATCAAACCAGGCCAGGGTTTGCGTCTTTCTTTCTCTCAGATCAGTCCAGGTCCGTGTCGGGCGTTTCGCTGCATTGTGCCTTGACACTCGCTCACCCACTCACGCGAGCTCCTCCCAGAGTTCCCAGGGCGTTCTTGGCCTTTGGTTTGCTGGTGCTCCCATTCTCCATTGAGGCTTTGCAGAGGAGGGGGAGAGGGGGCAGAGGGAGAGCGCCACCCTCTGACTCCCAGGTCGAATTACCAGGTCGGTGGCGCAGGGTGGAAACAGGGTTGTCCCGGCGGGCTGTGGTAGCAGAGCAGGCACCCCAGAGGAATGACGATGCAAGAAATCGAACCCCGGACGGCACAAGTGAGCTTGTTGGAGAGCTCCGGGGTGGTGGTCCTGGTGTGTGGTGTGTGCCTCTGTGCCTCTCTATTCCGCACTGGGCCCTGGTCGCTTAGCATGACGGTGGTGATTGACGTTGGATAGGCACCTGTCCTCGGTACGGATACTCTGCTATCACGGCATACAGCCTTATGGAGAAACAACATCTCTCTCAAACAGACGGTGGCTATTTCAGGGTGGGTGTTTATGGTGCTTGGGTGCCTTGTTTATGGACAATTAAACATCCTCCCAGCTGAGCTGCCGAAGTGCTATTTCCAGCCTGCGAATGAGTGCCGTTGTGACCCCCGAGTGTCATCTTCATTGGCGCGAACGATCACGGCGACAGCCGCCAGCGAGCAACAGAGCGACGACACACGGTCAAACAGTGGATGAATGAATCCTTGACATGGAGATGGGAAACAGCTGAGGAACCACTGACGGCCCACGGGAAAGTCGCAGCTCAGGGTCTTTTGGTCCGCCGGGGCGCTAGGCTCAGGTGGGCAGGAAACGGTGCCGATCCCACCTGCCTCTGCCTCAGGGTACGCAGTACTGCGTACGCCTGCTGCACCTGTCCTGGGCATGCTGGGCAGGTGCAGTCACTGAGGTGGCCCCTTCCCCCCTTGTCTCGTCTTTCTGTGTGACCCCCGGACAGTATGATTTCATGGATCTGGCAGCCATACGTCACCGGCAGCAACCTCCGTCCTTCATCCCACCTTTTTTTTTTCGTCCTTCCCACATCGGCTCGCTTATTGCAACGCGACGCGGTACATCACAGCTCAGCCCAGCAAGCAGTCATCAGCCAGCCCTCTGCAAAGTACCTCTGCCTGGGCTGCGGCATCAGAGGGAGAGAGCTCAAGCCTCTCGCACCACACCATTGTTTGTAATGGAAGAAACGGATTGGAGGACTCGCTCGCAGATCCCACCACCAAACGGAACGGATTCTCGACAAAACGTCCCCTTCCAGAGACAGAGAGAGGATTCGAGAGCGCTTGAACCGTCTACGTCTACATCTACGTCTACGTCGACAGTTCAAACCGGAAAACACTGTGAACACAGAGGTCGCGGGGCCCAAGTGGAAGGGATACGTCCACATGATTTGCTGCCGTGTTCCAACGAGACGTATCTTTCTGTACTCGCGTATTGTAGAGTACGCCAGACGAGGTACAAGCTGACCACGTCTGGCCCAGCCCATGACCCCATGTCACTCGTCCCCAAGTGAGGACTTGCAGCACACTTGGGGGGAAGGAGCTTGACATACGCTTGACATCTGGGACCTGGCCGTCCGTCGATGACAATATCACCATCTGTCCCCGTGGGCCGGCCTGCCTTGGGGCCTGGTCCTGTCCCCCCATGTCCCCTTCGCCTGTCGACTCGACTCGGCTGCCATACTATTCCCATGCTATTACATACCACACCAACAAGACCTGGTGGTTTGTGAATTACTACCTTTTGCCTTATTCTCTACATTACCGGACCTGACCTTGCTTGCCATACGTGCCTTCACCGAGTCGAGTCGCTGTACACTTCTCTACCTCCTCCAGTCGACACTTTGACGCCCTGGACATCTTCCGAATCCTGGATGTTATTCTCGGACCTCACGTAGCACATCACAAATCACTCCTCGCCCTTCTTCCTCTCTTATCCTCCCTCCTCTCTGCTCACCCACCTTTCACATCCTCTCATTTCTATCCCATCTATCCCCTGCACAACCAACATCCAGCCTTTCCCTTTTCAACCCGCGCGCTTCCGTCACCCACGTTCCCTCCACCCCTGGCATCACACCTCACTCAAGACAACACTCCAGGCCTCTCCTCTGATGCCACATCTTGATTGCGGTTCCTGACCTGCATCCATCACTGTCCCTGGTCTTAACCCGCACACCATATTGCGTATACCCGTCGGTCCGCCCTCGCAGCGTCTCAACACATCTCCCGCTGGCTTGCAACTCTGCAGCTTTAGTAGAAGATCCCACCCGTCTCCCATCTGCACATACCCTACATTCTCACCACTCACTCTCACGTACGACCTCACCACCAGAGGCAGACATCGCCAAACTCCAATACGCTCGTCAGAGCAAAAACTCCGCCGGCACTGACCACAACCACATCTCACCCGCCGCCATGAGCAACGGCAACTTTCCCAACCTCGGCGCCCTGGACGACTTCGCCCGCGACCTCTTCCGCCACGCCAAGTCCGCCGGCCCAGAGTTCGCAGACATTGCAATCGCTGTCCGCCGCTTACACGGTGTCTTAAAACACCTCAAGGTCGAGGCCGAAGACCCGGACTCCCTCCTCAACTCCCATGATGCGGCCGTCTACAATCGCCAGCTGGCGCCGTTGGTCGAGGACTGCGACTTCAACCTCAAGCAGCTCGAGACTATCCTCAAGAAATACGGCGACGTGGACCGTCTCGAAGAGCGCGAGCGCGACATGATTGACATGATCCGCACCAAGCTCGCGAATCAGAAGACGAGTATCGACATGTTTCTCGACACCATTCAGCTGCAGAACCCCACAAAAGCACAGCGCATAGTCAACGAGCAGGGCGGCAACCTCGACAACATCAAAGACAAGGTCGACGCGATCGCCGCCCGCCTCTTTGCCCGCAGACACAGCGGCGTTGGCGACGACGACGAAGATCTTTGGCAACAGTTTCGTACAGAATTAGAAAGGGAAGGATTTTCCAAGGAAGTCCTGCGGAAAAACAAGGTACGCACACAGCACATATGTCCAATGGATAACACAACTCCACAAATTCCGTCCTATAGAATTTGACGATATATGGAAACTGACAACTCACACAGGAGGTCCTCCGCGCATATATTCGTGAGCTCGAAGAGTCCACCGGCAACGATGCCACGGCTCCTCCCTCCGTCCGCGGTCTGCTCGCCCAAGAACGCGGCGAAACCTACGGCTCCTACAACGACCGCCGCAAAGCCGTTCCCGCCGTCGACCCGCGCACTTCCGTTCCTAATTTGCCGGCTCAATACAGCTCTCTCTCGACCTACGACCGTGAAGACGAGATGGACGACCACAACGATTCCCTTGCCCTCATCTCTACCCGGGACCTGATGGCCCTCGACAACCTCAACACGGGCATGGAAAACCTCCGCATCGCCGCCGCACCTCTTCAGAACTACTCAATCTCACCCTCCGATGCCTCCCCTTCAACTCGCTACCTCCCTCCAGAGGTCGCCAGCAACCTCGGCGTCTCACCACGCTTCGTACCACCAATGTCCCGCGGCGGACTGCCCTTTGGCGCCTCACCACGCACATCAGCCTCACGCCTCGCCCCGGACGCCCGCGGCAAGGACATTCCTCTCGAGGCACAATGGACCCGCATCCGCCGTGCCCTCGTCTCCCCAGAAGTCCTCGAGCGGGCCGGCGTCCGCTACGAAGCCCGTCCGGACTACGTCGCGGTCCTTGGCGTCCTGACTCGCGAGGAAATCACGAACTTTGCCCGCCTGTCGGCCGAGGCCCGCTCGGCCCGCTCCCGGGGTAGACGGCCCCCACCGCCCAATAATAGCAATAACTCACCTCCCACCCCCCGCTCCCGCAGACGAGCCGACTCCCGCGGCTTCACCTCCTCTTCCGACGACATTCTCTGGGACTCCTCCGACGCTACCTCTTCTGACAGCGGCTATGACCACAAGAAGGAATCCAAGCAAGCCTACTACATCGTCCCACCCCCTTCGGACAAGGAAAAGGGCACATCTCCCTCCGCCACCGTTCAGCCGAAACCAATCCTCAAGAACAAGAACGAGAACCACGTGCGTTTCGACCCGGAGCCGCACGAATTGGAGCCTACCCCTCCACGCTCCTACCGCGAGGAAAGAGACAAGAGTCGGCATCGGTCGTCCAGGAGGGATCACCGCGACGGTGGCCATGACAGGGACCGTGGCGACCGCGAGCGCAACCGTGATCGCGAGCGTGACTACAGAGACCGCGATCATCGTGAGCACCGCGAGCACCGCGAACACAGGGACCGCGACAGGGACCACTACCCGCGCCGCCACCACCGCGACCGCACGGCGGAGCGCGAGAGGCGGGACAAGAAGAAGGCGTGGGGCGAGACGCTCGGCGCCGTGGGCATCGGCGGTGCCGCGGCGAGTCTGTTGAGCGTGCTCACAGAGGCAGCGTCCGTCTTGTAGATGAGCGGACTACGCCCTGACACCACCCATTCTCTGAGTCTTGTACGATGCTTGTAAAGGTCACCAGATCTGTACCATTTGTATTGCTTGTTTTCAGTACATCTACGTAAAGCACAGTTTTCGTTTTGGTCATTTGGGATATCACTCTGCGTTTTTTACTGTTTTGATTTTTCCCAAGGGCTGCGCCCCCAATATACCAATACAGATCGGAAAACAGGACACTTGAGAGAGAGAAGAGAAAAGACCAAAAAAGTTACAAACCCGTCTGCAAGACGCACAAATTCCCTTTGTATCCACCACTTGTAAGGACGGGAGAAGGTGTTCGGACGAAGCAAGGATGATGATGATACCATCTCTCGGGGGCGGCAAAGTGGATGAGGCGCCCGCCCCTGGATGTAGAAGTATGTATAAACGCAATCAATGATACCCAGATTGATGATGGTTTTTTATCATGCTATTACCACTCTTCTCCCCCTCATTTATCTGAACCGTTGGCGTCATTACCCATGTCCTTCATATATTGGTTATGCCTGTGTCGTATCTGCTATGCAATGCTATAACGAGCCGGCCATTCAACGACTCCCAAGAACCCGTCAATCACTCCGTATCGAAAAACACCAAATCCTGTGCTATGTACTAGCTCAAGCATTGCTCCTCGTCTGCCGACGAGGCATCTTCGGCGGATCGCCGTCGAACTCGAACCCGCCAATCTTGATCTTACTCTGACTGGTAGCGGGCTTGACCTCCTCTCCGAGCATCTTGCTCCTGATCTTTGCGCGGTGGTGCTGGGCGCCGGGGTCCTCGTACTGGATCTGCGTCGACGGCGGCTCCGGCTCCTCCTGGGGCTGCTCCTCTGTGGGCCGGCCGAGGGCATCAATCCGCGACTCGGCGCTGCCGCTGGAGGCTACTGAGGCGTTGCTGATAGCGCGGCCAAAGACGCGAGCCTTGCGACGCCGTGTCTGCGGTTGCTCCTCGTTACTGGGGGTTTCCGCACCCTTCTCAATGACGCCGAGAATCTTGCTGGAGAGGTCCTCCTTTTCTGCCCTCTTCTGCGCATCACGCTCTGCCTTGAGCTGGGCTTCCAGATCCACCTTTGGTAATTCACCACGTTTGAGCTCTAGCTGGCTTTCGACGTCCCCTTCCGCAGATATCATCACTTGATCGTCCTGTTTCTCATCAAGACGGCGATCACGTCCCCCCTCTTCAGCTTTACGCTGTCGTGCTCCCAGCGGGGTATCGGCGTCTCTCCCATTTTCGTCAACGATTTCTTGATCTCCATCGTTCTTCCTGCGCTGATCCTTCTTGACACTTTCCTGGGCCTCGCTCATTTGGGCATCCAGTGCGCCCTTGTCAGATGTGTGAGAGGGATCCGCCTCGGGCAAATCTTCGACGGCTTCCTGCGCATCCAATCTCGATATAGGTGTCGGGTCCATGCTGTCGGCGACGCTCGTCGTTCTTGACATGGCCGGTCTTGCCGCCACTGTAGAGATTCTGTTGCGCACGCTAGAAGATTCATTGACAGTCCCGCCACCGAAACTATCCATCTGATGCGACTTGGCAGTCTGGAACTGGAAAGACGCAGCTGAATCCGCCTTCTTCATACTCTGCCTTTGGGCCGCAGGTTTTGGACGGTCATCTTGGAAGGCGGTTTGGTCAATTCCCACAGCAGACGTGTGCCGTGATACAGGCTTCTTCGGCATGTGAGGGATAGGTTCGGACCGTGTTCTCTGGATCGGCTGTTTAGTTTCCTTGGGCTGTTCCTTGGGTTTCGGCCGGGGTTCGAGGTTGGGGTTTTGCTTGATTTCTGAGAACATGAATGTCCTTACGGGAGCATTGAAGCCCGTCGTTATGCATTCCCAAAGCCAGTCTGAGCCGACAATAGGTATGTCGTTTTCAAAGGCGAATTTCAACTTCTCTTTGCGCGTTTCCGTGATGGACTTGCAGACTAGCACTGAAGTAGTCTCGTTGAGTCTGGCTGCATACTTGGCGCCAATTTGCTTGATGGCCTTTTCTACGTGAAGAAGATCGATGCCGGTGAAGCCTGCCGTGCAGATAGACAGGCCCTCGAAGCCGGAGATAGGAAACACGGGAAACGGACGGCCCAGAACATGACCATCTGGGTCGCAAAGCTCCTTGTTGTGCAAACACCGCTCGATAAAGAACTCCGTTACTATCTGGATCTTGTCGACGTGTGCTGAAGGGACCTGATAACGTGTCGAGGGCTGAGACTCCTGCGGGACAATCAGAAATCTATGGCGTGGTCTGGCCCTGGGATCTGCAACCATCTCCTCGAATAGGTTATAGGTCTTTCCGCCGAGGGAACCTATCGTCTCGGCTAGGATCTTTGTCTTCCACGGTTCGAAACCAGTCATGAAGAAGTAGCACATCGAGAAGATGCCCGCATCAGGAGCTGGCCGCACCATGGCGTCGTGAATGCCCGAGTCTTGAACCTCGATTCTCTCGCTTCTGTCGGGTGCAGAAGACTCTCCGGTGGGTTTGCTGCCGAGGATGTCGCCCCAAAGCGACTCGCGCTGGCTACTAAGCTTCATACTCGCCGTCTTTCGCAACTTCCTCTGCCCACCCTCAACGACGCCGGATCTCGACCGCTTGCCGAGAGACACCCGCCTCGGGTTGACCTTGTTCCAAGCACCTTGGCCCTGCTCCTCAGGCGGCAGAGCCGGATCGAAGCACTGCTCGTCGAGAATCAAGCCACGCTCTACAGTCTGGTCGAGCCATGCGAGGGAAACAGTACGAATACCCCAGTTACGGGCAGCCTTGAACTTCTTTCCCTCTGGCTTATGTACGATCAAATGCGACACTCGTTTCGTCAGGTCGCCAGTGTAAGTGCCACCGTTGGCTTGAATTCGCTCGATGATTTGGTTACGTTCGTCGGCTACACTGGTGTCAGAACCGTGCCTCGCGGCGGATTTGGGCGAACCTACGATCGTCAAAGCCTGTCATGCACAGCAACAGGCTCCCTCGCTTCGATTCGGCAGGATTAGTGGCATCGGGGAGCTCGCCGCATGTCTCCAAAGGCTTGAGTTGATGTTCGCGTTCGACAGCCGGGAAGTCAATGTTGACATCCTCCATCCACAGCTTCCCTACGGCATCGATCCAGGTGGCATCCATGGCCTTGATATCGGAACGTTCCTTGGCGACATGGCGGTATTTTGGGGTGTCGTAGTCGCCGACAACGAGATGGGTTACGTCGGGGGTGAGGTCGTACTTGTGGATTCCGCCGAGCTCTTCGGTCTTTTTGGCTATTTCTGCCTGAAGGTGGTGTGAGAGAGTGTCCGGGCAGAGTTCGCAGGTGGAAAGTCTCGCGGGTGGCTGAGGGGCAAATGCGATGTGCATCACGACTTACCCGCTGGTCGGGAGGGATGCTGGTGCAGCAGACAACGACGCCCTTGAAGGGATGCGCAGAGTCGAATGGGGGTTCGCTCGACTCCCGACTGTACGGAGAGTCCATTTCTATAGCATATCGTTGGAAGGCGGTATGTCGGGTGAGCTGCTTGTATTGCTGTTGAAATTGGCTGAAGATTGCCAGAGAGTGAGTGACATGCGTGAAGCTGTTTCCAAGGGCAGCGGCGCGTCAAGGAAAAAAGTCGCGTCTGCTGCCTGCTCCAATCAATTAACGTCGGTGCAGCGATGGAAGTCTGCCCGGCAAGGAGGCGCTATTGGTAGACGTCATTGGGGGAGTGTGGGGCCTCTGGAGCACCCTCAGTGCACCGCAGCTGCCTGAAGGCGCGCTGTATCTTGGCCGCCAGTGATGGATCTAACATAGGGCTAGGTACCTAGGTTCTATTGATGTGCGATGTCCTGCAACTCACGGATCATCTCAACGATACCTACCACCTATCTTTCCTGTGTTTATGCAGATCATGATAATTCTGTCCTCACAGTGGTTCTCGTATGGCTAGGTATCTCGAGGTCCTTACAGATGCCAAGAATATGGGAAGAACTCGAACATACCACACGAACAAATTTGTCGAGCTGGATTCTTAAGGAACCTATCAAGAAAGACATCGAGCAACAGTCAGTGGTTTTATTTGCCTGGGTACCTCAGCTTGAAGGCTCAAATGGGTCATAAGGCACAGAGAATTGTGGTCGATTAGACACCCGTCTGAACTTCCAAGTCCTGCGTCTCCAAGGTAAGCCAAGTTTCATGATATCGCATGGCTCTGCATAGGGACGAAGAAGGTTGAGATGAAGCAAACGGGCGGGAAGGAATGACCCGAGACTGCTAGGTGAAAGTGGTGAGGAGAGAGAAAGAGACGCAGGGGGACGTTGACGGTTGAAAAGCAAGTCCCAGGCATGGAAGTCGAGTTGAAGCTCCATAGACTTGAGCCCGATTAGGAAGGCGGGGTTCCCACTTTCATTGACGGAGTTGCGGGAGGCAGGGACAGGCTGATTTCAGGCACCTCTGTGCTTCAGACACCGCTGGAGACCGCTCGCAGCACCCTGTGGCTCTCCACTGCCTTAGCGACCAACCGCTGTGAGGGGAGGCAGAGCCTTCCAGGTTGACCTCTCCAGCTGCCTGAAGCAAGAAAAAAGTGTAGGTGACCGACCCTGTGCTGCCTGCCGATGAAGGAGCTGCCCCGCCTCAAAACCGTCGGCCGCTCTTACCCCACCATCTATCTCAGCCTTGCTTCGTCCCAGTCTCCAAAGTCGCAGCTCTAGCTCTTTCCTCTGCCTTCCCTTCGACCACCACATTCCGCGACAACCAACGATCGACGTCCTTTGCGACCCTTGACCTGCCCGGAACCGACACCGTCTTTCGCGGCAATCGCTAGTCCAAGCCGACCTCGTCTACATCTACTGCACCGGCGCCCGAGTCACCAACCCACACCGTCGCAATCTCCTCTTGTCGGCAAAGAGAACAGCTGCGTCACGCGATATCCCCAGAACCTCACCTCCGCCCCTCGGGATCGAGACCGAATCGATACGACAGACTTGGTGGAACCACCGCAGCCACAATGCCGCCCTCGTCAACCCAGAAGGCTTTGGCGACCCAGTTCGTGCAGTTGACTGGTGCCAGTGACAGAACCGCACAACGGGTACGTTCATCTCCCACCGAGAAACATCCCAACCGAGTCTTGTCTCGCTCTCGTCCCTCGTTCGCGCAGCCCCCCAACCTCTCCCCCACTGCTGGAGAACCCCTCATCGTCCTACCCGACGTTGCAAGACGCAAGCCATGTCTGCTACCTACCGGAGGAACGTCGGTTGCTGTCGTGCTTTGCAACGTTGTGTCGCGCTGTCTTGCACCGTCTAGACGCTGCGCTTGGATGGGCACCGAGGCGACCTTTTCCTTGGCGGGGGAGGGGCAGACGGGAGACTATGGCGAATCGATGCAACTCTTGAATGCTGGATGAAATGCTGACTGTCGACTCTCCAACAGTACCTGAAGAACTCCGGCTACAAGATCAATGAGGCCGTCGATGCGTAAGTCATCCTCTCCATGTTCGACATGGCTTTTCTTTTCGTCTTGCACGTCGCTTTTGTATCCCTCTGTATCCCTCTGTTTCGTCTCTCGCTTCGGTGCCTGGATGTCTTTGCCCGGTTACGCCGCCTGCCAGTGGTCTTTTACCGCTCTTTTAAAGTGGTTTCCGAAGCATCCATCAATCGGACTGAAGAGCGTACCGGCCCTTCTCGGGGCAATTTGGCCTGCAGAGCAGCACGCCGCGCATGGATACGGACCGCACCTTGCTGTACCTCACGCTACCTTGCCTTGTCGGCGGCTCGCCCACGTTCTGACTGAGGTACCCATTGTGGGGGAGCATGCGGCCTTCCCGCCCACTCACTGCGCCGAAGCGCTGCTTTTCCGGGTTCGATAACGCTGCCGTTGCGCTGCGCTGCGCTGCGCTGCGCTTGCTGGACAATGCTCCTGCACCCAAGAGGTCGCAGCCCAGTCCCTTTTCGGGGTCACATACCGTCCACACAATCAAGAGAAAGGCCGGATCGACGCCGATTGTCAATGGTTCCTGAAACATTCAATCTGCGCTTAGAATGGCCCTTAAGTCGACGAACTGCCGTGGCAGCCGCCACTCAGGCTTGTTTCGACTAGCCAGCTCCTGTCTTTCCGTCTTAATTGACACCGGCGCTTCAACTCACGGACTGGCCCGGCTGCCAACCAGCTGCCAACCATCACTGGCGATCACGAAAGTTCGTTGAAAGGGGGGCCCAGTCGACACTCCCGCTACCCTTCCGAACCTGCCGTCTGCAAGTCTGCAAATAACACAAACTCTATACGGTTCTCCGGTGATACCGTATTCTCAGCTTTATAGCTCATCGCCCTGCGGCTCGTCTCGTGCTACGCCGGCTAGCCTGCTGCTGAGTTCTGCCAAACAACCGACGCCGCGCGATCCAGCGTTTATGAGAAGATGGGCTGGGACGGTGTGAAGCGCGCATCCAAAAGCATGTTTTCTTCAAAACGAAAAGGGTCCAAGAACAGCCCTGTTTGTGAGGAGAAAAAACACTCCGGGTACTTGAATTATTCTCGGCTTCCTGAGCAAAGTTGCCAGTCATGTCTCGTTTCCCACGTCGTCAGCACGTCGAAGCTGTTACACGTTGTCGACGTCTTTGTTAAACATCTCCACCACGTTTGAACGAGAACAGAGAACAACATGCTAACGGGTCTGTCTATAGCTACTTCTCTGGCACCAGTGGCACCACCACACCCACAACCTCAGCACTCGATACGTCTTTGGGTCAGATGTTCGACAAGCTTCGTGGTACGGGTAGACCGATCCGCTCTCGGTCCGAATTCGCTAACTTAAGACCTAGATGATTCAAGAGATGAGAAGGACACGATGGGTGTTGAGTCGACCATGGCCTATCTTGAGAATCTTGGCGTAGACCTCGAGAACGCCGAGATGCTTGTGGTCGCAGAGCTTCTTCAGTCGCCATCTATTGGCGCGATTACGAAAAAAGGCTATATTGATGGCTGGAAGACAACCGGGTATGTTCTTACCGCGCATATGTCATGGCTGCTACCCTGACATTGTCACTCTTGCCATTGAAAATCATGCACGCCGCAGCTCTTTACTAACAAGTATTCAGGTCCGCGACGCGTCAAGCGCACGCCGCGCACGTCAAGTCTCTGGTCAACACACTCGCCACTGATCCCGCTTACTTCAAAAAAGTCTACCGCTACACCTTTGTCGCTAGCAAGGAGGAGAACCAGAAGGCGCTAGCTCTCGACACAGCAAAGGTCTACTGGAGCGTCTTGTTCTCGCCACCAGGCTGGCAATGGAAGACCAAGTCTCATGACTGGCTCGAGTTGTGGTCGTCATTCCTTGATGAGAAGTGGACTCGTTCTGTCAACCGCGACATGTGGAACATGATTCTCGAGTTCGCCACCAAAACTATGTCGGACGAGACTTTGTCCTTCTGGAACGAGGACGGTGCCTGGCCGAGTGTCATTGACGACTTCGTGGCTTGGTGCAGAGAAAAGGGGGTTGGAAAGGCCGATTCCGCTCTTATGGACGTTGACGCTTAGAAATCGGAGAAGAAGAGGAAGACGCCTATCCGCCAAGAACCTCTGCTTGTACGGGAGGACAAGCTGAAGAATACGAGGTCATTGAGGGCTCATAAACGCGCCAAAGTCTACGCCATAGTCCACGGTTTCACAGTCGAAGGTTATCGAAGCCCCGAAAGCTCCTGATAGGGATAGATGTCTGACATCGCGCGTATCAGCGGGGCATGGTTGACTTGGCGAACGTTCATACTCCATACAGAAATAGTATCAGCTGTCCATGGGCGTTGGACGCTGCTGACGTTGGGAGCGGGCTGCATCGGATTCCAGCATTAGCCAGTACACAGATATGACTCACGAACTTCAGACTGATTATTATAGTACACATCGCCCCTCTTGCGCTTTTGGTGTATGCTTGGAGATCATTTCTTCTATTTTGTAGTTTCGTGCCACGTAGTTGTACACTCCGCGCTGTGACCGGCTTAATACAGGCCATCAAAAACCCGGCGCTGGCTCGGGAATATTCAATATCATACATCCTCCACCGGTTTTAAGACTCCATGTCTCTAGATTTCCTCGCGGCACAGAGACCCTTGTCCTCTCGCTCATCCTTGAATTCGTCCCTCTCGTCTTCACGCCCTTAATGGCGTCCATCCCACTTGACATCACCGAAGCGGGCGGCGGTCTGGAGCTTGCCGTCGCCGAGCTTGACGTGTGCGGTACGAATGACGCGGGGATCGAGGTTGATGGTGTTTCGCATGTCGGAGTGCGTGGCGGACGATGCGTCGTAGCGCATGACGAAGTAGTGGCCCGACTTATGCTTCATTTGCGCCCTGGAAACGGGGCGGGGGAGCTGGAAGACGCCCCAGTTGGCCATGCCGCGGATGACGCCGCCATTGCGGAGGATGATTTGGCCGGCGGTGAGGGCGATTCTATGGTAGGTAAATATTAGGATGTACCAAGAGGCGGGTTGGGGGGGAAGAGTAGAGAGAAGATCGTGGGCCGGTGGTGGTGCGGTTCGGAGGGGAGGGGGGCTTGGTCGCATACTCTTTCACCTCGGCGAGGTTGCCCGGACGGACCTGATGGAGATGTTAGTCACTGGGTTGAAGCATAAAGTGCCTCGGGAAGTGGAGGGCTTACGATTCCTACGAGTTCGTACAACATCTTGTGGTCGACATTGACGATACTGCGGTTGAGTCGAGAGGTGGATGGAGCTTCGCGATAGCCAAATTATTTCGGAGGGCCTGCGCCACAGGTGTGGAATTTTCCGATCGCTGAATGTGGCTTGTGACGGTGTTTGGAGGAGCTTCAGCCACGACTGTGTGACGTGTGATGGGTACGGATCATCCGCACTGTCCCCGCGGTCGATTGAGCCAATCCAGCTGATTCAATTGTCATCACCAAGTCGAAGTCCGAATGTCACTGAAATTTTGGCTCTGACTGACGGAGCAAGGTTGGTTATTTTTGTTAACAAGGCCGTGACAGCCAGTTATAGTCGTACATGCATATCCTACATAGCTAGTCCCTTGATATTACAGTCCTACATTGACTTAAATTTGTTGCTTGCTCGTGGCGCGCCACAGGCGCCATGCCAGTTTCCAGCTCGCCTTGACTGCGAACGGGTCGAAATTGCTCGCCTCCAGGTTCGTGAGATACTCTTGCGCAGGAATAGCCTCCAGCAACACGCCAAAGCCGCGGCGAATATCTCGCTGCACGTCGTCCTCCTGGTCTTCCTCGTACACGTGCTCCTCCTCACCCTGGTGCTCAAAGTTGTGCCCCGCATCCTGGCCCGCCCGCAGATTCTTCAGCATCTCGCGCGCCGTGATGAGGTGGTCGTTCGCCCTGGTCGCGACCTTGAACACCGCGTCCTGGAACCCCTCCGCCTCGGGTCCGTACCTGAACACGTCCTCCTCGCGCAGGTTCACCTCTGACATGACATCCAGCGGCAGCAACAGGACCGGGTCCCGCGGCCGCGGAGGCTCCGCTCCGGATGGCGTGTGCACCTGCGTCTGCTGCGGCGCCGCGAGCACGGGGATACCCCTCAGCGTCGCGACGATGCCGCACGCCTTGCCGATGTGGCTCGCGAGGTGGTCGACCTGCATCGAGCGCAGCGGCATCGCGGCGAGGACGGCGTACATGAGCGTTGAGTACGTGTTCTCGGCGTACTCCTCGAGCGCGGCCAACGAAGCGAAAGGGCGGTTGTTCATGTGCTTCTCCCTCGTCTTGATGACTCTCTGCGCCCAGAAGCGGATCGAGCTCGCGGTGCTGCTGCGGGAGCGTGCGCGCAGGTCCTGGAGGGCTTGGTGGAGGAGGACACAGATCGGCTCGGCGGGCGGCGTGCCGGCGAAGGTCTTGTCGATCGACTCGCGCCAGAACTGCATGCGCAGCTGGCCTATAACCGGGTTCGAGACGACTTCGGGGAGGCGGACGAGCTCGAGGTTGAGGGCGCGTAGGGCGAGGTATGCATCCTGGGCCCTGGGGGAGAGGAGCCGGTAAACTAAATGAGCATCGTGGTGGCTGTGTCTAGGGTGTTGTTAGCAACGAATATCGAGGTTGCTACCCGCTGCTGATGAGAGGCGATTGCACTTACTGAAGCTGCGACTGGCAATACTTCCTTGCCTTGACGACGTCTGCGTCGGTGATGATGCCCCTGGCTCCCCGCGGAGGGGTCTGTACGAGCCTTCTCAGGCCATGGCCAACGATGCGTGGTCGATTCATTCAGGAGAATGCGCTGTTGTAATGCGCCATGTCGGAGATGCTTCTTCAATCTGAAAATCGCAGCTTCAAGGCGAGTGGGTCTTCTTTACAGTGCGGTACAGCTGGGGCGACGGGATGCGCAAAATGCCCGAGTCAACCACTTTTTTCTACGGTGTACTAACCCAATTATGACGTCTTGCAGAGGGTGGTTTAAGTGGCTTACATAAGGTGTCACGCAAGCACGTGATGACCCGACGCGGTCAGTCGCGCTGACTGATTCGCCTCGCGTCTCCATTCTCTGGAGCTGGGTTGAGTGTACTTTTGGTCGCCTGTTTTGGCATTGTAATCCTGCCACCTTGAAGGACACTTTGGGGGCATTTCAAGTTCTGTAATGGATTTCACAGGCTCTCCCGAGCCTCCTGCCAAGAGGAGACGCTTCTTCTCCGACGATGATGCCTTGAGCCACCACTCGAGCCCGGCGCTGCCTACCCCGCCGACACATCAGAAGCAGCGGTTCTTTCAAGATGTCGACGACGACGATAGGGCGCAGATCAAGAGCGAGGATGCCGAAGCGTCTTCCTCGCCATTGAAGTCACGCGGACCGCTGGTCGAGCAGCCCATCGAAGATGCCTCCAACCGCGCCGCCCCTCCTCCATCCGATATCCAGCGCGAAGAGTCCGCCATGACTTTCGACCAGGAGATGTTTGAGAGCTTCGTGGGCGACAAGGTTGCTGCGGATGTGCTGGATGTTATACGAGAGAACTGTGGGAACAACTTGGAGCGCGCAGTCAATATGTTCTTTGACGGCACATGGAAGAACTTCAAGAAGAAGGCTCTCTCGGTCAATGCTTTCGTTAGACCGTCCCCCGCCGCCGCCGCCATATCGACCGCACAAGACGTCACGATGGAAGATTCCCCGAAACCGATCATTCGTCGAAGCATGCCCGAGTCTCGATACATTGGATCTCTTGGTGTTGAGGGCTGGGCTACGCGCAGCGGTGCCAACCTCCTCAAGCATGGCGATGTTGTCAAGATTGACAGGCAAAAGATCCAGCCTCCCAAGGCCACACGAGTTACAAAGTTTGGCGTCACGACTGTCGCCCCTCGTGGCGGATCTGCTGCCGCGAGACGCGTAGATGTCTTGGTGCGGTTTACGATGAGCAGCGGCATGGAGATTGGGAGACTGGCGAAGGAGACGGCGGAGTGGGTATCGACATTAATGGACCAAAAGATTTGCCGCTTCGAGGGCACATGTGTCTACGCCCCTGAAAGGCTACGGACGAACGACACGGTCTTTATCCAACTCAAGTGCCACCTGCTGGCTTCGGCATTCCACAGTCCCGGGTTCAAGATCGCAGAGAACAGGGCGGCGGGGTTTTTTGAAGAGAAGGAGTCCACAGAAGAGAAGGAACTTCGGTTGCGACAGGTCGCTTTGGTCAAACTCCTGCACGAGATCAACCTCGAACCCACGAGAGTGAATTCGGCGGCATCGAAGAACGCGAAGAACCAGAGACAAGGGTTGCTGCAGGCGGCGGAGATGGACGAGAAGAAGGAGAAGGAAGCCACAAAGGCCACAGCCAAGGAACCGGGGTCTTCCCCTGGCTCTGACGAGCAAGAAGACGGCGAGGAGCTGGAGCAGGACCAGCTAGACGCGCTGTACCGGAAGGCACAGTCGTTTGACTTCAACACACCAGAGGCGGAGCCGGCGGATACGTTCGCGATGGACCTGCGGCCATACCAAAAACAGGCATTATACTGGATGATGACCAAAGAGAAGGATCTAAAAAGCAACCGTGAGCCCAGTATGCATCCTCTATGGGAAGAGTATGCCTGGCCACTCAAGGATACCGACGACAAGGATTTGCCTCAGGTACAGGACCAGCAGCACTTTTACGTTAACCCGTACTCAGGCGACATGTCACTGGACTTCCCCGTCCAAGAACAGAACTGCCTAGGCGGTATACTTGCCGATGAGATGGGTCTCGGCAAGACCATTCAGATGCTCAGTCTCGTCCACTCGCACCGGTCCGATATTGCTCAACGAGCCAAGGCGGAGGGCGGTGCCCCTGCGTCTGTCAACGAGCTGCCCAGACTTGCTTCAAACTCATCCAATGTGCTCTCAGCGCCATGTACGACGCTCGTTGTGGCGCCCATGTCACTCCTGGCGCAATGGCAGAGTGAGGCTGAGAAAGCTTCCAAGGAGGGCACTCTCAAGGCCATTGTTTACTACGGCAACGAGAAGGCCAGCAACCTCCAGGCGATGTGCTGCGAGGCTAGTGCTGCGTCTGCCCCTGACGTGGTCATCACCAGCTACGGAGTTGTCCTCTCCGAGTTCAATCAGGTGGCCGCCAAAAAGGGGAACAAGTCCGACCACACCGGTCTGTTCTCTCTCAACTTCTTCCGCGTTATTCTTGACGAGGCCCATCACATCAAGAACCGACAGTCGAAGACAGCCAAGGCTTGCTACGAGATATCCGCTGAGCATCGCTGGGTTCTGACTGGAACGCCAATCGTCAACAAGCTGGAGGACCTCTTCAGTCTGGTTCGCTTCCTCCGCGTTGAGCCATGGAACAACTTTTCCTTCTGGAAGACCTTCATCACTGTTCCGTTCGAGTCGAAGGATTTCATGCGCGCACTAGATGTTGTCCAGACGGTGCTTGAGCCGTTGGTCCTCAGACGAACCAAAGACATGAAAACCCCCGACGGCGAGCCACTCGTTCCTCTTCCACCGAAGCATGTCGAGATTGTTGATGTCGAACTGGGTGAGACAGAACGAGAAATTTATGACTACATCTTCACACGAGCAAAGCAATCGTTCAGGGAGAATGTTGAGGCTGGTACTGTCATGAAAGCCTTTACCAGCATTTTTGCCAACATTCTGCGGCTTCGTCAATCATGTTGTCATCCCGTCTTGGTGAGAAATAAGGAGCTTGTCGCAGATGAGGCGGAGGCTGGCGCAGCTGCTGACCTAGCTGCCGGTCTTGCGGACGACATGGATCTTGGGTCGCTCATCGAGCAATTCTCAGCCACTGTATCCGAGTCTGAGTCGAACCCCAATGCATTCGGTGCGCACATATTGGGACAGATTCGCGATGAAGCGGAGAATGAGTGTCCCATCTGCGCGGAGGAACCCATGGTCGAGCAGACCGTCACCGGATGCTGGCACTCAGCCTGCAAAAAGTGTCTTTTAGACTACATGAAGCACCAGACCGATAGGCATAAGGTTCCTACCTGTCCTAATTGCCGAGCGGAGATCAACTATCGCGACCTTTTCGAGGTTGTCAGACACGACGATGACCCTGACATGTTCCAAAAGTCGAAAATCAGTCTGCAGCGCCTGGGCGTCAATAACTCATCGTCCAAGGTGGTCGCCCTGATTAAATCTTTGCGCGAACTGCGGAAGGAGCAGCCGCGTGTCAAGTCGGTCGTCTTCAGCCAGTTCACGTCGTTCCTGACGCTAATCGAGCCGGCGCTGGAGCGGGCCAACATTAAATTCCTGCGCCTCGACGGCACCATGGCCCAGAAAGCCCGCGCTGCGGTGTTGAACGAGTTTCAGGACTCAAAGACTTTTACGGTGTTGCTCATCAGTTTGCGTGCGGGTGGCGTGGGACTGAACCTGACGTCGGCGAAGAGGGTATACATGATGGACCCATGGTGGAGTTTTGCGGTGGAGGCGCAGGCCATCGATCGTGTGCATCGCATGGGACAAGAGGACGAGGTGAAAGTTTATCGGTTCATTTGCCATGGAACAGTGGAGGAGAGGATGCTCCGCATCCAGGAGCGGAAGAAGTTCATGTGAGTTTCTCTGTGGTTCGGTGCATTTGCTTCTGCTAACTTCCTTCAGTGCGACTTCGCTTGGCATGATGAGTGATGAGGAGAAGAAGCTTGCTCGTATTGAGGATATCAAGGAGCTTCTAAGCTAAACGGGCGACTGTGGATAATAACACTCATGGCTAGTATGTACGAACAATTATGGTACTGGGCGTTTAACGCACCCAGGATGACACGCGACGTGTCGATGAAGATGACATAGATAGCATACGTATCCTTCCATCGACGAAATGATGGCAAGACACGTTGAATAAAAGCTAAAAGGGCCTTACTCGGTCAAAGACGTGGTCTCTATTGTGCCCATTGTGCAGCATGCCACGATGCTTTGAGGAGATGAGGTGAATCATTGGCAACAAAGGGCGCCGAAGTCCGAGGTCGTGAAAGACCTCTGCACCTTGCTTGACTAAACATCGTCGAAAGGATATTTAAATAAAATTCAAGTAGAAAAGAACGCCCGCAGCAAATTTGGTGACGCTCGTTGCAAACCTGCCTTCTTAGATCGTGTAGGTTAACATGGCCCAAGGTTGAAATCAATCACCTCACCTTCATTATCTATACGGCGACAACAGACCCCGTTACGAATACTCAACCGGCACCTCTGGGTTATTCCACGCGACATTTGCCCGAAGGTAAGTCGAAAAAGGCGAGTGCGCACCTTCCACTTCGCCTCAAACCAAACTCACCTGCGCACCTCACCACCAAAGTCGCACCCGCATCACACACCAAACCCACCAGAACATGATAAAGCAGCAGACGCAGGTCATTTGAAACAAACACAATCCTTCACGCCCTCCGAAATATTTTTTTACGGTTCTTTACGGAACGGACGATATTTGACGGCAAGAAAAAGAACGAGGGCCTACTGACTTGACGACTGTCTCACCCGCTCGACTCACGCCCACGGCGCAGTGAATCACATGAGAGCAGGCGCGAAAACCACAACCAGAGGCCGCCATCGCCGCATGACCTAAAATTTAGGCACGGGTTGGACTTTGGCAGGCGGGAGCTAAACAGCACCACGAGTTTTCCGGTGCGAGTCACGACAAGAAAAAGCAGTCGCGAAGGCCTCAAAAGAGAATTTTCCTCGTTTTCCTTTCCTCTTTTCAGTTGGAGAGAAATCTCCCAGAGAAGAAATTCCGATCGCTATTCAGATACACACTACATTCGCTTACACAAAGACACCAACTATCAACAGCGCTGCGCTGCAGCAGCAACACTAGCCTGACAACTATGGACGTGCTGCTCCGTACACTTGCACGCCGCAACACGTCCCCGCCTCCCCGCGACGGCGGCGGCGGACGCGGCCGCAACCGCACACGAAGAGATGATGGTGGCGGTCACAGCAGGCAATTCGAGCTTATTCTGGAGATGCTTGCGAAGGGTCTCGTCGAGTATGCCGTGCGCAAGTACATGCCCGGCCAGGGCGGCGAGCGGGACAGGGGCGGCCATGATGATCGGGTGAGGGCCAGGGGAAGGGACGACGAGGAGAGGCACCGGGGCGGTGTTCCGAACATGGACGCCGACGTGCTGGAGACTATCGGGAAGAGCATTCTAGCCAAAGCTATGGAGAAGTTTGGCGGTGGAGCGGAGGAGGAGAGAGCGGGCGAGAGGAGTGGCGGTGGTGGTGGTGGTAGTGGACGAGAGAGGACGAGAGGCGGGAGTTTGGATCGACATGAGAACTCGCGAGCACTCTCTCGCGATAATCAGGGAGATGGAGAGAGCGGCGGTCAGCGGAGACGGGGGCAGAGCGAGCACGGTCGGAGGGGCTCACCGGAGCGGGAGCCGAGACATCGTGACGAGCAGCAGCAACAGCGGCGGCATCGTCGACAAGGCCATGGCTGGACGGATTACGGTCCGTTGAAGACGGAGCTGGAGGCGCTTTCGAACGCCATAATCTCGTTGAATGAGAGGCAGCCCGGGCATGCCGACTGCGAGTTCTACGATGCGTTCACGGAGAGGTCGGGCAATGTGCAGGATAAGATTGGGGCGGTTATGGTCAGGATCCGAGAGAGGGAGGAGAGGCGGGAGGAGCGGCGGGGACGGAGAAGAAGTTGAGGGTCTGCTCGGGAGCAAACTCCGTTGGGTGTGTTTTGATATGAGATTTGCTTTTGCGTGCATAGGGGCGGGAATACCCACTGGTTTCTACAAGCATGGAGTTTGCAGATAGAACGACGGAGACCCCGGGTTTCGGAACGTAGCGGCTGGCAGATACCCGTGATATTTGTAGGATAGGATAGATAGTCTTTCCCCCCATTCCCGTTCGTGTTTGGGGGGAATAGAGTCAGCAATGACCATTTGCACCATATGAAGAGAGGTGACTGGATACCAGGAGGCGGATGTGCGACGTTACGCTGCGGGATCCGGTGGTTTGGGACCGGCTTTCCGTCTGCTGAGTTTGTGCATGTGCATGAAACGAACTTCAGATAGTAGGAATTGGCGCATATTGATTGTTGATTGTTGATTGTTGGAGCTTCAGGTCTCATACCGACATCAGGTTCACAGTTGCGTTTCGTTATGTCATCAGCAGGCTGTGATGGTGTGAGGACTTAAGACTCATAATGCGCCATGCCACGATCTTTGAGATGCAGGGCAGAATTCCGATGTTGGCGACTTGAACGAGAAGCAAGAAGCCCGGTGTTTGGTTACATGATGAGAATGAATATCATCGGGCTTTTCTACGCTCAAAGTTGCCCGAATCGTCATGGCCCCTATCCCTCGTCAACATATCGACACGGCCACTTCACTACACAGACTCTCTCGCCGCGACGCAGAAGGTGGACGAGTAGCAGGCTGGCTCGTCGGCTGTCTCATAGCAGCCGTGCTCGCGTGCGCCATCATCTACTACTGCTTCAACTGCCACTTCTCACCCAAAAAGAAGACCAAGAAAGGAGACCACGAGCATCATCACAAACCACATAAACACCCGATGATGCACCACGCACACCCCACCACACGGGGACACTCTCGTGGACATACTGCCTTCGCACATCGCGACGAAATCCCACATACTCACAGGTGGACACACCATCACCACAGACGAGCTCACCACCACCATCAAAAACGCCCAAAGAAGAAGGCCAAGGCCAAGAAGAAGACAAAATCAAAGAAAAGGGCCAGCAAGAATGGCCGTGGCAAGTCTCGTGGTGTTGAGGTGAGGTTCATGCCGATGCCGCCGATGGAGATGCCCATGGGGGTTGGCATGCCGATGGCACCGGCACCGGTGGCCGGCATGGGCATGGGAATGGGGCTGGGCGGTGTTGGCATCGGGGTCGGTCTGGGGGTGATGGGTGACGATTTCGTCGATTACGGGCCGCCGCCTGGGGACATGGACCCAGGGACAGAGATCGGCTGGGGTATTGATCCCATGTTCCCGCTGCAGCGATTTATGGATGACAATTATTCTGATGCTGATGACGACGTGGAAGTGGGCTGCAACGAATGCTGTTTTTCGTTCTTTGATGCTCTTTGCGGCGTTGAGCCCGGGAGCCGGGACCTGAGGAGGGAGGCAGCTGGCGATGGGCCAATCCCCCTGGATGACAATGAGATGGCGGCTGATTGATGCAGCAGTTCCGAGACAGAGGGGACATTCCGATTCATCGGGCTAAGAATAGATCTGGACTGTTCATAATGGGAGCTCGTGATTGGGGCTGTGAAGATGTTTGCTCGAATAAGGGATGGAGGAACCGTGTTTCGAAGATGAAAGGCTGCAATCAATTGGCAAAGAAAGCGATGGGAAAACGTAGCAATCGACTGTACATGGCTGTTTTCATCCGGCGCCTGGCATCGCCGTTCATATCTGCCGTCAAACTCCTGCTCGAAGCAAACTCCTGACCCAAACGACGACCTAACTTACATCATGTCAGTGTACACAAGCATCAAAAAGACCTGCAATGAAATTAGCACAATGAATGCTTTCGTAGGTAGGTTGTCAACTAACATATTGATTGTCCTGCACTCAACGCCACGCTTCACGGAACATCAAAGACGGCCATATCACTCTTTATCCGCAGGTGCAGCAGCAGGTGGAGGGGGTGCCGGAGGATCGGCCGGGGGGTCGGCCGGAGGGTCGGCAGGGGCTGCGGAAGGTGGAGCTGACGGCGGCGGAGGCGGGTCCGGAGGCGGTGGACCGCTCGTGGAGGAGCTCTTGGAGCTTCTGTTGGAGCTTCTGTAACTGACGGTCTTGTGATAGATATGACGGCGCTGGCGGCGTCGGCGACGACTGATGCGGTTGAGGGATTGTCGGTAAAAGTAGAGGAAGGCGATCGAGCCGAGGATGAAGATTAGAATGGCAACCCCGACTGTAACACCGACTGTGATATTGGTAGTCTTATTCCCTGCAATTCCGACCTGTCTCTTTGTAAGAGGGGCCGAAAGACCAGGAGCCACGACTTTTGTCCAACGTACAACCGGTGGCGAACGCCTCTCAGCCTCAAACCCGGAGGCTCGGGGGAGTGGAAGTGGGATGTACATCTAGGGCGACGAGGGGGGTGGCGTGCTTTTGGCAGCGAGGTGAATATGAATGGACTAGAATACAACGGGATAATTACCGAGTTACAACGTATAGACACCACGAATGTAGAAAAGAAACATTTTGAAACATGCTGTATAAAAGAAAACAAACAAAGACGGCTGCACGATGTCTCGTTGGGGAGCGAGAAGCATATTTAACCTTGGGTTTGCCTCCAGGAAGAGCGGCACAGGCACATGGATGGGCGCCGGACGTGCCCATTGGGATCTCGCGTGAGTTGATGAGCATTCCGTGATGCTTCTGAGAGGTTGGAAACGGGGAGGAGATATGCAAGAGTTGCACTGCGCAGCGAATGCGGAGGTGGAGGGAGTGTAAGAGTGTATATCCGCGTCCAAACAAGAACAAGATGCAGCTGGCCAAAGGCAGGCTGGCCACGATTATGCGTGCCGCATGCAGTCGCCAAACCAATGGATTCATTGCAGGCGCGACCATGGCTCACTCATGCAGCGGTTCCCGCACTCGTCGTGCCGTCCACAGCCCAAACTGGGGGTGTTCCTGCTGGTGGTGTTGTGGGGGAGTTGAGGGCTGCCAGTCGCGTCAGGTGAGGCTATCGAGCTGCAATGGGCTGATGCCTTGGGGTTGACTGCAGCAGTTGCACTGGCAAGTCTGCCGGATCGCCTCCTTCGTGTAGACCCAGTAGTCGCCAATATGAATGCGGAGGCGACGATGAGAATGAGAACTGAGGAAATGACGGGAGTGCTCGCCACGAATGCTTGAATCGTGAAGCCACCGTTGGGCATCAAGACGATCGAAGGGTCAATGGGCCGCCATCGTCGCGGTAAGCGTGGGATCGGTCATGGCGTTCCGAAGCGGACGGGTCTAGTTGAAGCTTCTTTGATGGAGCAGTGGAGTATCCCGTCCTCTTCCATGGCTTCGGAAGCGATGCTGGACGATGTTGACAAGGGGCAGAGGTAATGAAAGTCATGGATGGCGCATTAGGAGGAGAAGGGGTCAAGTTGGCGATGCAGTTTACGTTGGCGTGCTATCTTATCGGGGCATTGAGCGCCTGACTAAGCTCCCGTAGCGCTGTATCCGTCAACAGTTAGCTGTGTGGGCTGTTGTTCTTCCCTTCTGTTCTCTCTAACATCACCTTCCTCCTGCATCGCTTCCACCACCGTGTTTGATTGAAAGCATGACCGGCAAGCACCGGCTCCCTTCCGCATGTTCGATGCTGACATTGCCGGATCGAGACAGCTGCACCTCCCCAACCTCAATGGCAACCCAACGGCCCTTCTCCTTCAATTGATTAAGGCCCCTTTGCCGAGAAGACAGGGCGACTGTGCAGCTGTGCTACCAGCCACTCGGCCTACACCACGACATGTCGCCTGCAGCTGCACCCTGCATTCTCTCGCCTCCAAACCTATTGGGCACCAACATTGCCTGGGGAAAGAAGACAATTCATCTTACAGTATCTGTCTTATCACACTGGAAGCTGCACTCGGCAAGTGCCATGTGTTGCCCATGTACAATGACTTGCAGCAAGGGCCGTTGTCAGATTGTAGGTGCCGTCGGAGACGTACCGAGACAATGAGCTCCTATTTTCGTTGCGGCTGCGATTCTCCTTCAACTTACAATCTGAACCGGGCTAGCATCTATTCCTCTACGTGTATGTCCCTCTCGACGATGCATTTTGGGACAAACATGCAATGCTTCTATTAACAACAGGCAATGCTGTATCAGAGGCCCTCGCTATTGTGGGAGAAAGGCAACACAGACTGCGAGTTACCCAATTCCTCCATTACCCTGAAGAACCCAAGGACAATGGCTCGTATCACCTCTTCAGGCCTGCTCTGGGGACTTTCGAATGCCCCCCTTACAAGTCATAGACACTGGTGGTTTGCGGTCGTGGCGATGAAATCAGAATACTCGAGGTGAAAAGGGTCCTTGCTGGCCATTCTTAAAGGCCACATACTCTTGCTGTGTTTTTCTTTTCGTTTTCCTCTTTTGACCATTTTCGACAGCACAGTTCCACTAGTCTTCTTTCTTCCTCGACTACTGACTGCTGTGACAATGTGTATCTTCTTGAGCAGACACTTTTCCTGCCAGGCCAACGGCGCCGTTGACACCCACACTCATCAATACCTCGTCCGCTGCGCGAATCCCCTCTACGAACTCTGCATCAAACCAGATGTTCTCTCCGTGTGTGACGAAAAATACCCCTTCCCCTGCCATAACTGTACCGGGAAATTCGTGGAGCCCGTCACGAAGCCATTGTCACGCAGATGGCAAGGCCCCTTATCAGGAGCGCCGACGGGCGTCAGCCCGCGAAGTGCACGGGAAGAGGAGGCCACCATGTCTTACGCACAAGCGTTGTGCGACATCATGATAACATCAACAGTCCCAAGATGGCCTATTATCCCCGCCGATGAGGACCATCTCCAACTTTACCGTACGTCGAAGATGGAAATGGCTTGCCGCTTCAGCAAGGATCATTTCGACAAGGGTGGCCTATGCGATTGCAACAGGACCAACATAGAGCCGGAGCTACACAATATTGCTGTAGCAATGCGACAGACTGTTGCTCGAACCTATCTTTACCCCAGAGAAGGCACCCATCCTACTCCAGTGCTCGTTGGAGGTAAAATAGTCTACGTCAACGAACAAAAGAAGGAATACGCGTGGGACGATCCGGTGAACGCAGGCCACACTTTTCGCGATGAAGCAATGGCAAAGATGGCAGGGCAGCCTGACTTGAGCCAGCTCAATCACCTAAAGCGGCCGACGTCGGTCGGTGAGATCCAGGTCATCCCTTTTTTCATGGACATTTGGGACAACGACAAAGCGCACATAATAATGAGCCAAAGCATGGAGCATGATTGGAACATGAAAGAAGGCGGCATCGAAGCATGGTACGAAAAGTTTCTCGGCCACTACGGGAACGAATATGACTCTGTCAAGGAGATCGAGTTGAATTTCCGTATGCGTCTCATCAACACAGCAAAGAACTTGGTAATCAACGACTGTGGCCTCACGTTCCTGCGCATGTTTCAAGTCATGCGCATATTCAAGAATATCTTATTCTTCGAAATGGAGGATTGGGGCAAAGATCCTCAGCTCACGCCGGCCTGCGCGAGCAAGCTTGCTGAACTCTGCAGGCAAGGCGCACGCCCGATGCCCGAAAGAAAACTACTTTTCGGCGAACCTGTGGGGTTTGGCGGTGATGCCTGGTTCGACCAGCTGCGGATGCTAGGGATGCATCATTATTTCCACCGAAACCGCTCGCTCCATCGGGAAGACGAGTTTGCGAGCGCGGCGGCGATACAAAACACTGTGATGCCTTTGTCAGAGGAGGAAATCGCTGCGCTTTCAGATGAGGACAGGGAGTGTGCTATCTGTGAAAAGGAGATGGGATGGCCTTTGGAAGGCCATGCGGCGATGCGAATCAAATGCCCTTCTAGGCACCGGGTTGGCATGAACTGTTGGATGAAAACTTGTCGACTGAAACGGCTTTCAGAGAGAGGCCGAGACATAAATTGCCACTCCTGTGCTGACTTCAAGGTGGGAGAGTGGCATGCGGTCGAACCACGAGATCGGGTTTTCGCCGTAGATTTCAGAGATGGTTATTTTGACAAGAAGGCTCAGTTGGAGTGGGCGATGTACCGCACCGTCTACCGAGATGAAGTCATGGAGCCCCAGGCCATTATCTTTGACTCATATACTTTAGGCTGGGGTGGATATCCTACTCGTAAAGATCATCGAGATGTCTCTGATGAGTCGTATTGTACGGCTGTTGAGGCGGCCCACCTTCACGGCGATGCTTGGCGGCAAAGCATGCGTCCATGGAATCCAGCACCGGAAGGAGTATAGGACATGGAGTGTATTCGGAATTGTGGTATACCAAAGGGATTAGATATCTTATGTTATCAGAAGCAGGTTTTGACAACGAATAGAACTTGGGAAATGTGATGCGGCAGTGTAAGAGCCTGCGGGAGTTTAGTTCAGACCAATGGAATGAGATTACACGGACAGTTAAAACCTGGATAAGACTTCAGACAACCAGAGGTATGCACAAAAACATAATATAACGGGTGAGGGTCACCGCTCTTATGGCGGTTACAGAACACATCACACGCCATTTTGCGAGACTGAATCTCGAGTTACTCCATCGCTACGTTGAGTCATGCCGCGTACTTTGCGAAGAAAGGCTCAGCCCTCCTCTGCTCCTCCTCAATCACCGCAGCATGCCTCTCGGACCTCGGCCGGATCGTGATCGGAAACTTCTTGGGCGCGATCAGGAACCCGTCCGTGTACGCCGTGCCGACGTCGACGTCCACCTCCCCCTCCCCGGGCGAGAGATCGAACCCCCACGCGATCTTGGCCATGTTCAATATCTATCGGTAGAAGTCAGTCACAACAGTTCTCGAAATTGCGACTCAGGGCTTAGTGCCACTCACCAGCGAGTTCCTCGCCAGCCGCTGCCCCGGACACACCCGCCTGCCCGCGCCGAACCCATACAGCACGCGCCGGTGGTCGTCGGCGCTCTCGTCGACGGGGTCGCGCGTCCCGTACTTCTCCCTCACGAAGCGGTCCGGCGCGAACTCGGCCGGGTTCTCGTACTCGTCCTCGTCGTAGTGGATCGCCCACGTGTTGGCGACCAGGACGGTGCCCTTGGGCAGGTGGTAGCCCTGGTACGTGTCGTCCTGCGTGAGCATGTGCGGGACGCCGCCGGCTGCTACGGGGCGCCAGCGGAGGGTCTGGAGGTTCTGCGTTAGGTGAAGCTTTTGGGGGGGGAAAAGGGGGAAGGGGAGGGTGTCACCTCGTTCATACACGCCTCGATGAAGGGTAAACGGCCGATGTCTTCTGACGTCGGGGACCGCAGGGGGTCGCACACCCGATCGACTTCTTCCTGTGCTTTACGGAACTCCTTCGGGTACTTGATCATCGCGAGGAGGAAGGATAGTAACGTCGAAGCCGTGGTATCCGAGCCGGCTTCCATCTGCAAAATATCAGCAACACGCACGACTTTAGCTTCCCAGTCGATACACACCAGGTTCCCAGCCAGGTATGCCAAATGCTCGTCATCCAACCCATTCTTCTCCTGATCCCTCAGCATCTCCCCCAAAAAGCAATCCGGGCTCCTCCCCTCCCGGATCCTCTCCCTCGTCCCCGCCACCAGCGAGAGATACAACTCCATCTGCTCCCTCCTCACCCTCGCGGCCCGTCTCTTCCACCCCGCCAGCGCCGCGGGTACCATCTTCAAAAAGGGGAACGCGTCCACCGGCGGCGTGGCCCCCTGCTCCAGCACGGCGGTGAACTCGTCCTGCGCGGCGTACAGCGCGCGCACGTTGGGCGAGTCGAAGCGGGCGCCGCGCACGCCGTACACGGCGGCGAGGACGACGGCGGTGGTGTACCGCCGCACGTGGTCGTAGTAGCCCGCCGGGTCGCGGAGGAGGTCGGAGAGGGTCTGCGTGGCCTCGGCTTCCTGGACGGGGAGGACGGCGTCGACGCGGTTGACGGCGAGGAGGGACTGGACTACGCGGCGCTGGACGCGCCAGGCGGGGCCGTAGGGGAGGAGGAGGAGGTGGATGTCGCCCGGGCAGACGAGGGTGTTTGCGACGTAGGTGCGGGGGCGGGAGGAGTAGATTGAGCCGCGCTTGTCGAAGAGTCTTTTGGGTTTTGGGTGTTAGGTATGTTGAAGGGGAGGGGGAGGGAGGTTGCCTTACTCTCGTACGTGTTTGTAGTTGTTTAGGATTACGAAGTTTTGGGAGCCTAGTTTGAGGCCGATGATGGAGCCGAAGGTGGCCCCGAGGTCGTGGAATCTTGGGGTTTCGCTGTTAGTATGGGGATGGAACAGATGCGTTCTGAGGGTACGCACTTTAGGAAGCCCTTTGATTTCGGTACTTGGGTGATGTTTCCCAAGAAGGGGACTGTCCGAGGGCCTGGCGGGAAGTTCCTGGGCCGGCAGCTCGCGAGGAAGAACCTCGAGAGCGTGGAGACGGCGAGCACGATGAGGACGCAGAGACCAACGGTCCCTCGCGAGAGGTCCAGCATGCCGGTTGTGCTCATCTCGACAACACCTCTCACTCGATGCCACGACGGAGAGATGCGAGTGAGAACGCATCGCGGGGGGATGTTTTGATACCGCTGAATATCTGCTGGCTTACCGGCGGGTCAGAACACTACGCCGCACAGAGGTATCAAACTTCTCTTCACGCCATCCGTACGGTTATCTCGGCCTCGGGGCCCCATGCCGTGCTCGTAACCATCGGAGGTTGCTGGTGTGGTGTGGGTGGGTTGGCCGGGGTGGTCTCGGAGGGTCTGCAAGAGACATGGATCGTGCAGCCGAAGGGCCGTCTCCGTCTCACTGCATGGCTAGATTGCCACTCGCGACCTCGCCGATTGAGCTTAGCCATAGGCGTTCGTGTACCCTGTCATTCTCCACCCGCTGCTATATCTCGGCAACTGGGGGGTGGGGGGGACTCTAGTCGGATCGGTCTGGAAGGATGGTGAACACGGAAGCCTAGAATGGCCTCATCCTGTACTGCATCTGCCGAGTCGGTCTAACACGCCGACAGGGTCTCGGAACGAGGAACACGATGATGTCAACACTTTGATCCCATCGCATTGGATAGCTTCTCTGTGTGTCTAATTCGCGGACGCGGGTCTTCACGGCGTCCTCAGCGCAGCCTTCTCCGCCGCCAACTCCTCCACGTTTCCCACAACCACGTCCATGGGGTCAAACCCGGCCCCCTCCCTCTGCAGTTCCGCCGCCCTGGCCTTGTACCTCCCATCCTCGAGCACCTCCTCCACGGCCCGCCGGAGCTGCTCGACCGACGGATCCCCCGTCCTCAGGTCCACCCCGACCCCGGCCCACGCCGCCCTCGCCGCCGTCTCCGGCTTCTCCTCCGTCGCGGCGGCCACCACCAACGGCGTCCCGTTCCGAACCGCCCGCTGGAACGCCCCGTACCCGCCCGTCGTGACGAAGACGCCGCAGTGGGGGAGCACCTCGTCGTACGGCACGTAATCCGTCACCCTGCAGTTGGGCGGCACCTCCAGGCCAGGCGGCAGGCTCGCGCCCTTGCGCCCCACGGCGACCACGACGAGGACGTCCTCGCGGCCCGCGAGGGCGGCCATCGTGGGAACGACGAGCTGCGTGAGGTCCATTGCCACGGTGCCCTGGCAGACGAAGACGAGCTTGCGGGCGGCAGCCTTCGCGGCGACGACCTCGGGCCACCAGGCCGGGCGCGGGTGGAAGGGGTCCTTGGGACCGTTGGGGTAGCCGCCGGAGAAGCGGAGGCCCGGGGGCGCGTCGGAACGGGGGTACTCGACGCTGGGTACGCACATTTGCACGAAGCGGTCCGGGAGGTGGTAGAGGGCGTCGAGGAGGAAGTTTTCTGGTTCCCGCGCCGCGCCCAGCTTCGCGAGGGCCTCCGCGTAGGAGGACTGGGCTGCGGCGAAGGTTTCCCTTTGAGCTGCGTTGGCGGCGGCGTGCTGAGCTCGGCCGGCCGGGGAGGCATCCGGGGGCAAGCCGGAACCGAAGGGCGGGTGGTCGATGCTGGAGAGCATCATGGGGTTGAGGCCGATGACTATGTATCCCGTGGGACGGAGGCCCGGGGCGCCGTGGAGGATGGGCATGGCTGCGAAGTTGAGGCTCTCTGTGAGGAGGATGGTGGGCCGTCCCGGGTGCTTTGAGGCGAGCGTTCCCAGGGCGGTTTGGAGGGCGTGGTGCTGCGAGGGGATGGATCTGCAGAATATGTGTACCAGGTCGTGGATGAAGCAATCCGTGCCTTCCAAGTGCTTCTTGCCCTCGGGCCCTGCGGATGGGTGTGATTAGCGTTTGCTCCGTGGTGAGTTTGGAGGGGGGAAATTCGGTTTGGAGTGAATAGATACATGGAATATCGATACTATTTCGCCGCCATATGACAAAACGGAAGCACTTACAGGACGGGTCCAGATCCCACGAAGTCAGGTCATAAAAGTCGCCGTACCCTTCGACCGAGACGAACGACGCGCCGGCGGCCTCTACGCGTGGACGGTAGCCCGAGCCGGTCACGAAGCAGACGTCGTAGCCCCGCGAGACGAGCTGCTCCGCTATCGTCAGCATCGGTATGATGTGGCCCGAGACCGGCGTGCTGCAGATGAGCACCAAGGGCTTGAGGGGCTCCAACGTGGTGCGAGAAGGTGACATGGCGGGCTGTTTGTCGACGTGGGGGGGGGCAGGGGAGCGTATGAATCTGGCGCAAGAAGATGAGCGTCAAGTGTGAGAGGGGGGGAACTGAAGGGTCCATGGGAAAGCCGGCATCATAAGGTATAAATGGACTTCCGATAAGCACTAGCTATATCGAGGTACATACCCGACCCATCTTGCATACTGTTATTGACGGAAAATTGAGCTTGGTAGGTCTGCCCCGGATGGAACATGGGCTTGATGAGTTATCCTGTTTCCTCTTCACATCATGATCTATCTCGTCTGGTAGTGGCAAGGCATCTCAAGATCAAGTCTGAAATGGCTCAATTTATAGTAGCCAGACTTTCGCATCAAAATCATTCGTCAAAGATGGCAGAACATACCTCACAACAGTCGCCATTTCACTCGCTTGGCCTGGTTTCCACCGTCCAATCTCATCTTTACCAATCCAAACGAGGGAACAAGAGCTTCCTCCGCTGCCAACCTCATTCGAATCTTACATTACACATTCAAATCATACTACCGAACGTAGCTGACCTACCAAATGAGTGAAGATACCCGAGCCAACTGATGCTCTCCGTTCAACTGACCACTCCTACTCATAATCCAACTCTACTGAACCCCCTGAAGAATGCCGCGCACAATTCTTGCGGCACATCTAAGCTCCTTAACAAACGCCCGAGTCCGCTCCTGCGAGCCGCCTGTCAAGGAAAAGCGAATTCTGCAGCAATGACGAGTTAGAACATCCCATGTAGCGTGGACTGGGGTTGCTTACCTGTCCTTCTCCGGGACCAAGATTGACCAAAACCCGTCAGGATCCGCCATGAGGTGCACAAAGTCTTGGAACATGATGTCTCCCTCCAAGCCGTTGCTCTGGGCAAACACGGGCGGGTAAGGCCTGCCGAAGAAGACGTGCTCACCCAAAAAGCGTGGCTTGGGCGTGCTGCTGGCCTCGGCGGGCCAGAGGTAGCTTAGGACCTCGAAGAGGCGCAAGTAACTCCGGCCGTTCAGCATGGTTTGCATGCCGACGTTCATCTTCTTCGTCGCGGCCGACAACAGGGCGGCTAGTCTCCCCGCCTGCTCGGACTCCTCTTGGTGCCGGTACGCCTGCGCGGCCGCATCGCAGAAGGCAACGACGGCCGGGACCGCTCTCTGAACAGCATCGGATCGGCCGGTGTGGAAGTGCGCGGCGCTGGTGGGTTCCCAGGACGGCACGTTGTGTCCGAAGAACAGGCGCAGCGCGAGCTGGAACGTGATGTCCACGACGCCCTTGGCCGACACCCTGGACCGCACGAGGAAGTCGGTCCCGAACTCGGTGAGCTCCTCTCGGACGTAGGTTGCGACTGAGGTGTTGTCGACGTATTGTTTTCTCACGAGCCCGATCCGATTCTCGACCTCGGGCGTCGTCTCGAGGACAAACTCGTGCAGCGCAATGTGGGACGAGGAGTCTCCGTTCAGTCTGGCTGGGCTCTCGGGCAATGGCTTGTCCATGGCAGCCGAGAGCCATTCCAGAAGACGGGCGGGGGTCGTGCCGTCGATGATGCCATGCTCGGTGATCTGGCCGGAGCGGCCGTTGGATGTCACGTAGAACTGCAACACCTTGTCGAACCAGCGGTTGGATCCGTCACCGATGTAGCCTTGTCGAGCAATCTCCTCGCCAGTCTCTGGGGAGCCATCATCCAGGCATAGAACGCACATTGCAGAGTCGATGGTGTGGAAGTACTCTGCGTTGGCAGCGCTCGCCGTCGCCAGCTTTTCTCGCATCTGAAAGGACTATTAGTATTCAGTACAAGAAGTGCATGAAGGACACTTACAACAGCCCACGAGTCTCTATCATCTGTGGTCAGGATGCTAGTCCAGAGGTGGTCCTGACCAACCTTTGAGACGATTTCTTCAAAGGTCGCCACCAGATCAGAGAACGACAAGTCTTGTCCGTCCCGGTCCTGGAGCATGACCTTGAACAAGTGGCCTCTTCTCAGGACGGCGATGTGATCGAGGGCGTCTTTCTCGTCCGAGTCGAAGCTCTTCATCGCGTCGCACCTGAGCTGTGGTATACGAATCGAGTTGAACAGCCAGCCCCATCTCCACGTGCACTCTGGTCTGCCCGCGACCTCGAGGGGCTTGACTTTTCCGGCCTTGGCGGCCCGCTTGAATGACAAAGAAGACGCGATGATGGTGGCGGCACGCTCGGCCTGCGACTGAGGAGTCTTCGCGTCGCGGTGTCCGCCCATAGTGCTGGCATACGGGGCGATTGGGGACCTCCTGCACAGCCAGCGAGCGTTCGTGACGATCTCGTTCAACCAGCCATTGCTCTTGTCATGGCCATGGTCCTTGACCAAGCCGTCAAGAATCTGTCGAGCAGGGCCGTCGGGGGCTCGGAGGGCTTCGATGTCTTGATGGACCTCGAGAAGTTGGTCAGGGTCGTAGAGATGCTCGTTGGCCTCGAGCCAGAAATCGAGAGCGTCGTCCAACTCGGGAATTGGCTGGACAGGCAGCTCTGCGCTCAACTTGCAACAGTCGTATCCATGCTGACTGGCATGTTCACCTGAGGCTTCGAGGCTCGTGTCATCCTGACCGCCGTGATGATTGGCGTCACCATTGCCGGCGGCCATCTTGCCATTGACCCTGCACTTTAACTCGATTCTCGATACGATGAGGTTGGCGAGCGCCATGATGCTTCGCGCGCCACTCAACTCGGACGTCTGCAACGGCGCCTGGAAGGTGTGTCGAACCCAGTTCTTGAGTTCGATGGAAACCAAAGAATCCAAACCGAGCGTCGCGACGGGTTGGTCGTCCGGGACCTCGCCGCCCAAGAACGCGGCAAACTTGTCGAGCAGCGCCTGCTTGACGATATCCTCGGCATCCGCAACGGTCTCGA